GCAGGCTGGGCCCGGATATTTGCACAAAGTGCGCTGCGGAAATCGGCAGCTCAATAAAAGCGGGCGCCGATCATGAATACAGATAGCGAATTATGCACGCTCTCATTATCTGGCAGTTGCGGCGTTATTTGCGTGGAAATTTTACACGCAATCCGCCATAAAATTAAAAGCTTTCCTCTGACAAAAGCGAATGAATTATGCATTGTGTGTTTGCAAAAGTAAATGTTTCATTAAAAAAAAATTCCACGCATGAATGTGAAGATGTTTAAAAGCGGTGACGGCGCGAATATAAATCAATAAATTCAGTCATTATCTGGCAGCGCAGCTTTGAACGATCCGTCAGCGCGTGCGACCGTAAACATTCTTGCCTGAGATATTTATGGACTCGCACGTAAAAGCGTCAACAGATGATAGCAGCACTCTTGAAAAGACTTTTGCCAACTTCCTCTCACTCCATTTTATGCGGAGAGATTTGAAGGAGGAATTTCGGGAATGAAAACTTTTTCAAACAAATTCCAAATAAATATAATTTCATTTAAAACTGAAAAATGCAGCAGTTCAAGAATTGTTTAAATTATTCAGAAAGTAATTAAGCCGGACTGGTCAGGAGCATAATATTTCCGGTCATTAAATTCCAGTGCGGTCTTGTGTTGCAGTCGAAAGGCTGTGCAAGTGCCGCTTTTCTCTATTATTGCTGACCATCAAAAGCCTTTATGGTGGTCGTGCAGATGAACGAAAAAAAATACCCAGCCATCTTTCTACTTGGTTCGCTGTCCATTAGGAGCAAATGGAAAGGTATGTGGGCGGCCCAAAGAGAAGGGAGAGAGGCATTTTAATCTATATTTGGCGCCAATAAATGAAATATGGATTCCCTTTGCCACCTTTTCTCGGCAGGACAATGCCAGAGATGTAATAGCTGCGAGGGACGGCGAAAGAAAATGGCACTTTCGAAAGTCCGAGAAATTTCTCACAAGAATTTACTGCTTTTGGTGACAGAGAAAGAAATTCAGATATCAATTGATTAGTGGAAAAATTATCTTTCGTCCAAAAATATGGATTTTATTTGCAAAAATAAAATAAAGCAGAAACTATTATTATGCAAATAAATAGTTTAAGAAAGTTTTTCAAAATTCAAGTGAGGCCTAAAATTTGTAAAAATTGTGCAATTCAAAAAGTTTAGAAATTTTGTATCAAATTTGCAATTTACTTTATTTTGAAGCGAAATAAAAATCCACTTAATCACAAAATTATTACAGAAACTACAAAATTTTGGCAAGTACGCGCTAAATTTATTGTATTCCGGCGGGGGTAGTTGAAAAGATAACTTGGTTAACTCTGCGTTCAGCGACGCGAGATTCTAGCCGAGCAAAGCAGGAGAATAAACAGGCACTGCTCATTTGAAAGCGTGAGTGGATGTTTTCATTTGCAAGCCTCACGCACATTTTCGGACAAATTTAATAACCGGCCTTGTTTACCTATCGCGCAGCAAACAACAAGAAGTTTTGCATGCAGAGTGTGTTGTTCCTCGGCCCGGCTCGGCAGCATCAAACCCAATTTGCAGAACTTGCCGTCAACAATCTCGGTGCGGAAACAAGGCCCGCGAGCGCCTTTTAATTGCCTCGTCTACCCAGCCAGCGCCGTAATCGTGTTTTCACCCCCCCAATTCAATCGATGCGCGATCATCTCTCTTAATTTCGCCGCCGGCAACTTGGAAAATCAGATAAATTAGCCAAGTGCGAATGCTTTCAAAATTTAATTATTAAAACCATCAAATAATATTCAATATTCTAGTAAATATTGAACAAAAATTATTTTCATTTGATTTAGTGCCTGAATTGATTTTCCTGTCGCTTCTGTTTTTACGCTGCAGATTTTTTATTGCGTTTCAATGCATTTGGTCCATTCAACCGACTCTCAACTCGATAAGTTTTCATTCTAGAGCGTAAAAAGGTTATGCAACGTGGCATACGGGCGTGTCAAGCCGGTTGCATAAATTCTATTAAATAACTTTGCATTATTGTCGCGCTGCATTGTTGTGATTTATCTTGAACGTTCACTTATTTTTTCCAACAAAAAGAAATATTTTCCAACGTTTCTACGCAAAACAAGGTCTTTCTCAACTTGTAACTTCTACAAAATATTTTGAACTTGGATTCATGGAAACTCTGCGAGGAAACCAAGTCTCGGAAAACGAATTAAATAAATGTCTTTTTTTCTAAGTTTCAATTGTAAAAATTTTATCTTTTCCAAACAAAAATCTCAATCTGTTTAAAAAAGATTAGGATTTTCAGTTAAAAGTTGAAATTCGTACATTTTAAATTGTTTTCCTAGCATTTATTTTGTAGATTTAGTTTCTGAATCCTTTATTAATTTCTTTTGCAAAATGAAAACGGAAACTGGAATTCCTTTCGACACAACATTAAACGAAATTTAACGAAAACCACTCAATCTAACAAAATAAGCAGTCCCAATTATTGAATAAATTGTATGCTTCCTTAGGAAAATAAACACTCGTGCAAATTTTTTTTTTCACTTAACAGTTTTTAATGGGACTAGTGACCAGTGCGAAAAAATACATATGAATGAACACAATAAGATGAAACAAGATAAACATTTTTGTCCTTTTTGTTTTTATTTCTGATTCCTTCAGACAATAGTCTAGATTCAAAACTATCTTTATAAAGCTTTGTTTCAAGTGACAGATCTATAAGTGTGTAGAAAAAATGCAAATGCAAAGCCGTCGGGCAGATTTGATTATGAATATTTAATGGCAACAATTTATAAATTCTCTCGGGATAAAGCGCGCGCGCGCCTTTAGCTATTTTCGTTGTCCTAATTGCGAGACGCATTATTATAAACATGACGAGCCACTTTCATTAAATCCCGCAAGCCCGAGAGAAAAAGGCAGCCCGGGTTTAGCTCGACGGCAACATTCATTTTTACGGCGTTACATTATGTCTGCAGAAATCCCGGCGGGTGAAATGCAAATTGCTGACGTTGAAACTTTAAGATATAATTTTATGGTTTCTCGATTTTTCCCATCTTGAGCATTAAAAATGGAGAAAAAATTGCAAGGCTTCAACGAAAAGTCCCTTTTTTCTGTGAAAACTTGTTTACCGCGCGCGCTTCTCCGTTTTCCGCAGCCCGGCCGACAACGATCCCTGCCAAGCGAGCTGTGACTTGATGTCGCAAGATAAATGAGATTGACGAAAGCCACACCCCAAAGATATTCCACGCGTAAAAAGTGCTGCTCGTGCTCTAACGTCAGCGTCACAAAATGAGCGGAATTTTCGTAAATGTTGCGTTATTTATTGCCGCGAGGAATTCCCCTCGGATGATGCAGCATCGAGAGCATAAAACGGGCCGGCCCGCTCGGGGGTCAGGCCAGGCAAAAACTTTTGCAATAAAACTAATGCTTTTGTGTATTACCGGAATGGACGCGCCTGCAAATAAATTGCTTTCATCAGCGATATTTCCCACATCGACTCCGGCTTCCATTTGCGAATTAGGATTGATAAGGCGACTTGTGTTTTCAGACGTGAGATATTAGCCCCATTAAAACAAGGTACACAAGCTTTAAAAAGGTTTATAAAAAAAAATATGAAAACTTTTCAGGATGTTATTTACAATACTTTGAATTTGTTTGAGCAAAATTTTAAGTTTATCCATTTTTTGTTTGTCTAGACAAAGTTTCAAAGTTTACAAGTCCATTAAGGAGAATAACAGTTTTTCCCCTGAAAACGTTCAGAATTTTAGATTAGCCAAGATTTTTCAGCCACTTCAGAACAATATTTTAACTATTTCATAATATTTTTGTAATCGTTAAAAAAGGAATTTGCCAACGAAACTTTTTGATTGCATTTTGCGCGCACTATAAAGAGTTGCTTGTGATGATTAAATTCACACTGGGTGCCGAGTTAATGAAAACTTCATTAGAAAGTTGGAGCAATTACTCGTGCAGTTTGCACACTCAAATGATTTAACACTCAATGGTGCAATCAGGTATGGCGCCTGCACAAGTTGCGAAAGTGAAAACTTTGCCTGCACTGCTCACTCTATTACCCTCGACGGCCTCATTTTCCATTCACTTTATATGTGCCGACGTCGAGAAAAACCAGCCTCTTTATTTATGCTGTTTGAGTAGAGAGAGCTGTTTTCACCCTTTCTCCCCGATTTGGCCAGACTTTTTCTGAAATACACAAACATTACCTTTTATCGCTCAAACGTAAAGTAATCCTCTAGTTTTTTCAAAAAAAGTATCGATTAATTTTAGTTGAATATTGTAAAAAGAGAAATATAAATTTTTATCTAAAATGTGTTAAAAAAAAAAAATATTAGATTCAGAAAGTATGGGAAGTATTAAATTTTTTAATAAAAGCAATGAAAATTATTCTGTTTTGAGTTCTAGTTGGATAAATTATGTTGAAGAAAACACTCAAATTATAATTGTGAGATAATTAAAACATAAAAACTCAATCTAAAATTGTTGTTAAGAACCACTTTGGTGATTTTTATTGCTCTTTTTCCAGAAAGATAGCAAAATTTTAAGTATACCTTATGAAAACAGTGTGAAAATTCCAAACAGTTTCGAAAGAAAAGGAATTCGCACCAATAAATATGAGGATTGAGTATTTTTCTGTCAGTTTGGTCTAAAATCTTCAGAATTTGGTCATTGGTGGCGCAGAGATCACTGATTTTGTCACGGCGTTGTTTGATCGCAGCGCCACCAATGACCAAAAGCTGAAGTTTTTTTACCAAACAGACAAAAATGCCCCTGCATCGCAATACTCATAATTTTGTTCTTATTGAATTAGGTTTTTAAAATTTAGTGACCTTTCAGAAAAAGGAGCAAAGAAATAAATAGATTCTTTCATAAATGAAGCGAATAATTTATAAAAAAAAAATTATTAAATTGTTGTTTATTTTAATCTTTATATTGTTTGACATTTACTAATCCATCTGTATAACTTTTTTTGACCTTTTGACAAATGGTGTTTCAGGCGAGAAAGCCGAGGAGAAGAAGTTCAAGTCGGCGCTGCCCCCGCCGCCGCCCCCTCTGATCGAAATCGTGCACACGGACGTTCCGCACGAAGAGACGCAGGAGACGGTGTCGCCGCCGCCAGTCTTCTTCGCCACGGAAAACTCGACCGTGGTCACGGCGCAGACCGGCAGCACCGCATTAGTTCCATGTGTCGTCAAAAACATCGGAGACGGCGTGGTGAGTTTTATTCCTTGACACTCTTGCCGACGTGCCAACTTTGCCCTGCTGACATCTCGCTCGCTCGGCCTGCGCAAAGTAAATAAAACAAAAACGTGTAAAGATCGGACACAGAAAAAGCTCTTAAAATTCGACAGACGAGCAAATTACTTTTCTCAACAAACTTTTTTCCGGAGAAATGCTTGTTTGCTTTGACACTTTTTGATTTACCAGGCAATTTTGCTCTAGAAAGAGAATGAAACCATTTCAGAATTTCAAATAATTGGGAGGAATTTTTATTTTTATTAATCAAAGAATTTTAATTTTATTGCTTAGAACCTTAAAGAAAAATCACTTTGGTAACCGAGATCTCAAAAGAAATCTGCAGAAATTAGAGTCTTATTTACTTTAATTGATTTGAACGTCTTGATGGGCAAAGTGTTTGTTTTAATCAGCAGACGACGAGCTGGAATTAAGCAAACAACGCTTAAATTTCTTTGGAAAGTGATCAGAGTCTAATTGGAAATGCTCTCTGGATTTGCCTAACAAACGTTTTGTGGAAATTCAAGTTGACAATATTCAGAGTATTTTTGTTGGGCGAAATGCAAACCGAATTTCCACAAACCCGCCGCAGCAGACGGAACGAAATTGCCACGGCTGCGAGCAAGTGCGTGACTTTCCATACTTTGGCCGCCGCAAAGCTCATTACACCGAATCCGAACTTGGCAAATATTAAATTCCACCGGCGCTTCGCTAATAAAATCCGGAAAGGTGCTTTCGGAATAAAAAGGTGCGTGCGTCGCACAGCAAAAAGCGGCGCATGCATATTTCACGTGGCGAATTAAAAAAGAGGGCGGCGGTTTTGATTGGACGGCTGCGGATCGAGGGAAAAAAAGAGAAGCGAGCTGGAAAAAGACAGGGCCGCGTGTCACAAGCCCCGCGCCACCTCGTTTGTCACGCCGAAAATCGACAAGTTGGCCTGGCAAAAAAATGAAAATAAAATTCAAAGAGTCGAGACGGTGCTGATGGAATTTCTCATTCGAGCGGATTATTTATCGGCGCGCATGTTTATTGAGTGCTTGTTGATTCCAGTTGAATACATTTCTGCATGACAAGCTACGTGAGCGATTCGGCGAATCCTGCGAAATTAACGAGGGCTCGAATTACGCCGATCAAAGTCAATGTTTCCGCAAACATTTCCAAGTAATCAGCAGCGCCACTTAAAAGCTTCATGTTTATCTTTCCGAGTTGGGCTTATTTTCTCGTTCAAATCTAATGATATATCGAATTTTTCTAAATAAGTTGGAAACCGGAAATGATTGCTTAAAATTCAAAATTTTGATAACCAAAAGTTTTAACAGCAATATAAGGTGAAATGGGCGGTGTTTTTCCTGCAAATTTTAAGCTAATTAATCGAAACAAAATAGCGCAAAATAGCAAAGTTTTTTTTATTGAATATAAGTCATTTAGAGAACTGATTTTTTTATGAGAATTTAAAGAAAAAATTTTTATAAAAATTAGTCAGACCAAAACTGATAAAGATTTGACAAAATCACGTTCATATCACCCCAATTAAAATGGAAAAAATAAATTCGACATACAAAATTTACATTCGTCGTCTTAATGAGAAAAGATTTATGAGCTTTATTTTAATTTTAAACCATAAATAAATTAATTATTCTGTCGAGTCATTTTACACAAAGTCCTAATTGTTAATTTGAACAAAGACCACTTTAGTCGAGCTGTTCCATTGGAGATGAGAACAGCGATTGAAAGCATAAACAGAAGATTTGTAGTACGTGTCGTTTTGAACAAAGGAGGCGGTAAATAAGCGTGAGACAAATAGGGAGAACATAACAAGGAAGCTGCACGCACAGTCATGGAGCGACAAAGTTGACTTGGCGATGTCATCATTGTTGCCTCGAGAATAATACGGAGCGAGATGAGCCCCGCTCTCGTCCCCAGGGAACCTGCGCACCTGTCGATGTCAACATCATTTTCGCTCTCATCTCGGATGCGCCTCACTCGCTGCGGAGCCTTTGTAAAGTATCAAGTGGAAAATGAGCAGCCGTGCCAAAAATGCAGCCCTACGGTGACCTACTTTTTTGATACACTCACTCATAAAATGGCTCCCGCACCTAAAAATAAAAAAAAGAAGGCTTCATGGGCAATCGATCGATGGACAGCAACCGCTTTTTATTCAGTTACAATTTTTCCACAATTTTTTTATTCACTCAGCCAAGTCAAAATGTTTAAAAAAAAAAAGTGAAAATTGGTAAATAAGAAAATAATGAAATGACCCTTAAAATAAATTTAAATCAGTAACATCAACTGAGCAAAATATCATTGTTAATTTTTATATTTATTAACGAATAATTTGATTTTGGACAAATTTCGAATTAAGCTTAAAACTATTACAAAATTAATGACGTTGAGATGAATTTGACTTTTTATCAACGACCTTCATTCACCATTTATGTCCATCATTTTGAAACACCAACTTTTTATAGAGTATCTTTTGCTAGCAGAGAAAAAGGTCGTTTGTGTCTATTTTTTGCGTCGCGCCCTCCAAGATAAATGAATCAGCACTTATATCTCGCGTCAATTTAGTGCAGCGAGCGTAAAATTTCCAGAGTCCTTTTCTCTCTCTCTCTCTTTTTGTTCTGCCGGCGGCGATGAATAAAAGCGGAGAACTCTTTGAAAGGACTCTCTTTTTGTGGGCGCCGTTTAACGCTTTGTCCCTCTTTCTGCACAATGGTCAGCCGAGCCACTCTGGCCAACAAGAAAAGCTCCTCTCGCGCGCGCATGTGTTTGTTTACAAGCAGCTCCACTTGAGCGAGACATCAAAGCCGTGTGTCTGTGTCAGCCGTTAAAAATTAATTCACCAAAAGTGGAAACTCTCTCAGTAAATAAAACTTGTGCCTTTTGAATTATTCGGCTAATAAAGCCAAAGCTACTCTCTTTTTCAACGAAAGTTTATCAAAATTTCAGCTGCAAACTCTCGGATGAAACATTTCAACGCAGCACTGGGGACCATTAATATGAATTAAGATTAATTCACGCGTGCGTTGTCTCTACACGAGTTAATTTAATTATTCAGCACGGTTCCGCATTTAGTTTCTCTCTGTGAAGGTCCTTTTGTTTTAATTTGCAAGACGGATGAACAGCGAGAGTCAAATTTAGCGCACGCGAGTTCTGCGAGCGTCTAATTGCGTTGTTTATCCGGCTTAAGCGTAAGTGAGAGGGGCTTAATTTAAAATTAAAAATCAATGCAAGGCGATATGAACTGGAAATTTCTTAATCCGTGGGCTTAAACTTTGGTTAAGTACGGTATTTGTGCTAACAAGTAAGTTTGAAAGGATTAAATGTTTAAATTAACAACGAGGCCATCAAATCATTTATTCTCTCAAAAATAATGACAAAATGAAATGTATATCTTTTTTTCAAACAGCTTAATGATATCAGCACTGAAATTAAAACTTCTCAGCTTTTTCCTATAAAATCAATGTAAATTATATAATTATGTCGCTTAGACTATTGATTTAACTTTTCCATTTGAATTAAGGTGATTTGAAAGATATTTAGTGAAATTTTTATCAATTCTTGTTCTGAAAAAAGAAAAATTAAGATAATTTCAGAAACAATTTTATATTTAAAAAAAATTCGGCTCTCTAATGAATTAAATTTTCTTGTTCTATCTTCTTTTGCTAATTTGAAGTAAAATTACCATCAAAATTAATCAGGTGGTTTTTCTTTTCAAAAGCCTTCCCTTAATTTAGAGTAAAAGTTGTAGTCAACTTTATGATCCTTTCTTTCATTTGTTGATGTGTAAATCATTATTTCTGGAAAATTGAAAGGCTTGATTTGATTGGAATTATTGATAAAATTTAAGAATGATTTAGAAATAAATTTAAAAAAATTCAATTCAATTTTTTAGGAAACCTAATTAAATTTTATGAGTATTTCTTGCAACAAAAAATGTTGACGTAGAAAAGTAACGCGTGTGCACCTAAATTGCTAGACTTGCTAGAGGTGTGTGGGTTTAATAAAGGAGTTTTCGATTCGCTTGAGAAGTTGAGGCAATATTTTTACAAAGTTTTGTTAAACTCGCAAGCTCCTGCTTTGGATACTGTCAACAAGATTAGAGATTTCGGCAACTCGGCGTCAACATTTTGAGCCTCAAACTTAATTCAGCGAGAAGTTTCGCTGCTCCTTTTTATGTATAAAGGGCGCGTGTGCCGAGAATTCAAAGGTCGGATTTTATTGGGCTGAGGCCGCAGCCATAAATCATAATTAACTCGCTGGAGATTTTTATAGATTTGCCATCAGCACGGCGAAAAGCACAACAAACAACTTTATACACTCGCGCGGGCAAAGAGAGAGAAATAAAGCGATCCATCATTTCGGCCGAGCTTGAACTGTGAAAACGACATTTTTATTTTGCGCGTGAAAAGGCCAAAAAAGCGACTGCCTATTTGTTATGCATGGAAATTGGGTTTTTGCCCGCAAGTGCGTATTTACGAGAAGAGTGAGAGCTTTAATGCGTTTCTGATGTTGCAGATATCGTGGATAAGGCGGAAGGATTATCATTTGTTAACAGTCGGTCTCACCACGTACAGCAGCGACGATCGCTACCAAGCAGTGCATGCGCAGCATTCAGAGGTGAGTCTTTCAAAAACAAAAACGTACGCTTCTATTTGTTTCACCTTTTTCGACTGTGTCTTTCTGGTTCTTTTTGGGAACATTTAATAAGCATAAAATGAGCGATTTTGAGTTATTTGTAAGTGCTTTAGAAAGGCATAGAAAGGATTAACGGAATGGTTGATGAAAATCTGATTATTTCATTGTATTTTTATTTGCAAAATTGTACAAAAACGAGTAAAATTTATTCATTTCTCTTTTAAACAAGTAGTTCATTTGATTTATTGTTTTATCAATCATCACAGTTGAATTTAGTCTATCAAAAAAATATTTATTACATCTCCAAATAATTGTTCCTTCATTTTATCAACCTTTCAAAACATCTAATTTGCTCATCCGCATACTCATTGTGTAATCATTTGCATGTATTTTACTCAATGGAATATCACGAAGATCGATTTTCATTTACAAATTGTATTATGAAGCTTTAAAACAGAAGCCAATGAAATCCATTTCCAATCACAAAATTCAGCCAGCGGGTGAAATGGAAAAAGGAAACACTTTAAAACACATTTCCATTAATTACAATGGAAATTAAGTCCATACATACCTTCTTATTTGAGGGAGGGTCTAGAATCACCAAAAGTTCATTTAGATCAACTGTACTGTTTCAATTTCACCTACAATTTAAAGATAAATAGTGAAAATAAAACAGTTCAGCAAAACACAATTAAACAATTACTTGTCGCCCCTAATAATTATCATCTATATCAGTTTTAAGAATCTGATTGTGAGATTTGAATTCATCTTGATCAATCAATTTGTTTTTTTTTCCATTTATTATTCCACTGAAGACGCGAAAAATGGTTGATTCAAAAGTAACTCTGCGACAACTATAAAAATCTCCAGGACTATTGTCTGAAAATTTAAAGTGAACTATGTTTTTCACTTTATGATGAAATAATTAAAAATTTACATGACCTCGTCAACATTTCCATGCTCCAGCAACATAATAAACATGCATTTATTTATAAATGTGTGGCCGGGCGTAAAATAATGAAGCCATTGATGCATTTTGCTCGCTCGCTCGCCTGCGAGGTCTGTTTGCGGACAAATATGATGTTTGGCGGTGCAAGCGATGCACAATGCAGGAAGAAGAAAAGCAGTGGAGGCTTTATTTGGTCAGCAGCACACGCGGCCGTCGTTCTAATTGCATTTGCACATATTCAGTTATGCATGCCTGCATGGCAGTCGCACATAAATTCAGCGCCGATATTAATATTAATCGCGGCGCCGGGACGTGCATATTAAGTTAGCTCTTGGCATGCACGGCTGCATTCTGACTTTTTAATGAATACAGAATTAGCCTCTCGTCGGCCGGGCCGTCCCACTTGCTGCATCCGAGGTCATTTCATTCTGCGATCATCAGCTCCATTTTGTGCATATTTGTCTGTGCGCAATTCTAGGTCATTTTGTTGAAACAAAATTTTTTAATGATTTCCCTTAAAATCTCAAATTGGTTTTTCCAAATTGAAAATTATAATAAAAGTAATAAATTTGGACTAAATTTTAGGACCTTCAGTTTAAAAATTGGAAAATATTAGGGGAAATCTCATGTTGGAACAATTTCAAAAAAATCATTTCTGGAAAGTTTGTTTCAATAGATTTTTTTTTTGAACCAATAGAAGAATTACCAGAGCTACTTTAGCGAACTCCTTAATTCCGTCCAAAGACGCCTCTCAATATGGTCAATGTGCCCACCCACGTGACCATATAAATGACCTCTTAAATTTCTGAAAATATCACAATTATAACTATTTATTTGCCTTGAAAAACCAGGAACGACACCGACAATTCGTTTTTGGGGCTTGTGCTTGCAGACGAAGTGACATAAAAGCGATAAATAGGGCATCATTTTGAAGGGCTGAACTGATAGATAGAACTGATAGTCAAAACAAAACTGTTCAAACGCTTTAACTAACAATAAGATATCAATTTATGTGCAAGAATGCAGATTTTATGCCAGGCGAATTAAAGATATGACTGTGTTTTCTAATTAAATCTGTCCAACACACTCAAGCACTTGTCGGAGGCATAATAAGGCCAGTCGAGAGTCTCTCACCGAAAGTCCTTGACCTGCATCACGAACATGATGTATGCAGATGTCAAAGCTTGATTATTTGGTTCTCTCTCTCTCGGGCTGGTGATAATTCCGCGCTGCCTATCAACGAAATCAACCATGCAGTTAACAAGCAACCAACGTGCACTCCGTGGGGACTGAGATATAAATTGCCATGTGTGCCACTTTAATTCATCACAATCCGCATGCATAGTCATTCTGATTTGCATCATTGGCGCGGCAAATGTAGATTGATACGACGCTGAGTGTGCGCAGAGGTAAATATTGTCCTCGTTTTAAAAGCGATATAAAATATAAATGAGCCAGAGGACAATAAAAAGCATCCCCATTGTCACAACAATGCGGATTTGAATACATTTTTAGTTGCAAAACCTTGGAATTGTTTATACTGAATTAATTTGAAATAAAATCTGATAATGGATTAAAACTTCAATTAGAAATAATAAAAAGTTAAGTAGATATTGAAGTGAAAAGTTCTGCATTTTCTTGGCAAATTCCATCAAAATTGAACTCTTTCTTCATTTGAGGAAATGAAAATTCCCAAAAGCACTTGGCGTGGGAAGATGATGAACAATATCAGCTGCAGAAATTTTGCTCCTTCCCTCGCATGTGTGTTTTTATTATTTCCGGAGTGTCACATGATTCACTGTAGAGCGCCTCCTTGCTCCTTAATAAAAATATTCAATCTCGCCGGAGCTGGCTTGGCAGGGGGTGGTGACGTCATTGTTTCCAACGGCCCTCGTTTCTATCTTAACAACCAGAATACTAATGACACACTCTCTGCTCGGCGCTCCCCGCCGCCAGCTTTTAAACGACACATCTTCACTTTATTCTCCGCGCACGCACCAATTTAAAAAGCATAACAATTTTGAACATTCTCAAGCGACTCGTTTTTATGCGCATTTCTCTGTTCCGAATGGCGAACGCGGTCTTCCTGCCTCTGTCGAAACGAGCGCGTAAAACGCATTTTTATATCATCTCCTTCGTACCGATTGAATATTAACTCGTCAAGTGTCTATAAAAAGAAACCGTGTGCGAGCGAGTGTTTTCACGGTTTTAAAAGCAAATTTGGCCCCGAGACTTCTTTTTCTTTTCTTTCGCCAGGACGCAAATATGAGACGAGAGCGTCTGCCAAAGAGGAACGCAGCGTCGGAAATAAGGAGAGTCTGCCGTGTCTCCTTTCCTTTGACAAAAAATGACACACGCCGGGCTATGCCGTCCTCAATAATATGAAAGAGGAATATTGCACCATTTTTTTATTTACGAATTGTAATGTCTGTATTGATTATATCAAAAGTATTTTCGTATATACTGAATGGGATTGAAATGCAGAAACTGAAAAGCAAACGACGCCCAACAAATTTTTCCTACTAGAATTCCTGACATTTGTGTAAAAGTTGAAATACTGACTGAAAGAAAATGAAACCACCTCAGGTTTTTAGAAACAGTTTATTTGAGAGGTTAGCAAAACTTTTTTCCTTTCTCTAGATTTGGAGAAAATTTATTTAATTTTTTTGTTCCTTGGTTTTTGCTAACAAATTTCAGATCAAATTATCTTAGTTTCCCAATTTGATTGAAACAAAACCAGAAATTGTAGCATTGAACTCCAAAAAGGTTTCATAAATAACAAAGAGGCAAAATCATAGACTTGTTTGTTTTTATTAACTTACATGTATTGTATAGGAAGCCTGAGGTCGGGCGGAATTTTAATGCAAATTTCGACATAAAAAGACGTTGTTATAAGAGAATCAAAGTCGTGCCTCAGGACGCAGTCTGCGTTTTATCCCTGGCAAGAGTAGATTTTACGACGAAACGTGATACCGAGACTTGGGCAAATTAAGGATGAGAGATTTTCCGGCGGCTGCCTCTGTAAAATCCGTTCCAGCTGTTTGCAGAAAGAAAGCTCTTGACAGCGCCAAGAATCTTGCCTTTAAATCAATATGAAAAATAAAGCGATTAGCCGCGCTGCCAAATGCGATTTCGTCGCCGCCAGAAATTCGGTTGAGCTCATTAAAAGCGGTCACGCTCGCAAATAGAGGTTCCTGCAGGCCGTGAAAGTCATTTCTGTTTGCACAGGGCTGAATAAAGTGAAGCGGCGCCATTTTGGTGCGCATAAAAAAGGGCCTGGGGCACCCAAAATGTCACGCTGGATTCGCAAAAATAATATTTTGCAACGTTCTAATAACAAGCTCGCAAGCCAGGTTCGCCGTGTTTTTAAAAATACATGTTTCCAGTACCAATTTTTTGTGTTATCTCTGATGTTTATATCGTTTTTATAGAATTATCAAACACGAAGTAAAAAATTTAGATGTTTAAATTTTTAATCCAAACATTAAACTGTTGAAATGATGACCTGAGATTTATCTCCTCAAATAAATGTTTTTTTTTATTGGGAAAAAAACTAGATAAAAACTGTTGCAATAATAAGTAAATAACAAGTTTACCTTATGAATCTAGAAATTATCCTAAAACTTATTAATGTTTTAATTTGTTTCAATATTTTAACATACAAATTCACTACAAATAAGTCAGAAATTTCTAAAATTATTATATTTAAGCAAGAAAATTAATTATAATTTTCGCTTGATGCATTTTATTTTGTCTGAGTGCACGTGGCGCTGTTAAATAAGGTCAATTTGTTTCAACATGAGAGGGTCGCATTTGGAGCTGCGCCTTTTGTGCGGTCAGACAACATTGAAATAAATGTGGCAAAAAGAAGGAAGGGCCTCTCGTCGTCGGCCCGGCCGCAGCAAAAAAGCAAAGTGTGCGTGTCAGAGCAGAGCAGAGGGTGAACCAAGTGCGCCTCGTAAATATGAATAAAAGCGGCGCAGGCAGAAGGAAGAAGAAGGCCTTTTTCACAGTTCAAAGCGGTCCGGCGTGAGGTGTTGTTGCGCGTCTCGTCAGGTGAACTCGGCCGTGAACACTGAAATGTAAGAAAGGCAGGCAAAGAGAAATTTATCGATCTGCACCAAAACGAGGAACTAGGCGATTCTGATGGCAATTTTTCTCCACATTAGCTTCAATTTAAGAAAAATTTGATTCATTTTGAGAACTGAATTTTTGAAAAATTGAACAGTTTCTAAAATTAATGAAAGTTTCACCAAATCATCCCAAAAATCAAGTTGGTAAGGCCCATAGTGTTTTTTTTTCAGTAAACATTGTTCTCAGTGTAGATACCCAAAGCTTAAGGGAGTGCTGTTTTATTATTTCCTTTATCAAATTACGTTGCAATCTATTAAATTTCCTTTCAGTGTCTGTTTGTTTTGCCGCTTTTCCTTCGATCGGCCAAACACTTTCTACTCAAGCGGCCAAAAAAAAGAGAGGAAGACTGTTGTGTGTTCGTCCCACACCAAATTAATCAATGGTGCAAAAGGCTTCTCTCAACCAAAAGCCAATTTATTACCTCGCCCAAAATAATTCAAGAGTTCGGCCGGATATTTTTTTTAATAACCTTTGAGAGTCTTGACGTGGAAAGGCTTTTTCAAGTACAAAAAAGGAGTCTCTATATTTGTCGAACAAATCTATGCAATTTCTGCTCTGAATTGCTCGGCAAATATAGTCGCGGGTTTTAATTGAATTTTCCGCGTTGCCGCATACATAATTTTTTCTTCCTTTGAAGCAGGAACTTTAATAATTACGCACCGCAGCAGGTAGAATATGCGTGGAGCAGTCTTGGGGGACGCGCTGAAGAAACTTTGCCGCCCGAGACTTGCTAATCTGCTCTCGAGCTTCTTAATTAGCTACAGAAGTCTCCATTCCTCTCGTGCTCAGCGCAGACAGAGATAATTTTTCACTTAAATTTCCCCCTCATCATATTCCCGTCATCCCCACCCAACTGCCGCGCTCGCTTTTTCATTCTTGCAGTGTAATTATCTTGTGATTTAAGATAGTCGTAAGAAAAGCAATTTTTAGTCCAAAAACGTGGTGTTGAGCCGGCGAGAAAGAAAGAAAGATTACGCAAACGAGGTGCGCTTTTTCCCAAAACAAACACTGCGTGAATCGCTCTCAGCACAAATTACCTAATATTAAATGTAATAGTCGAGAGTGTTTCTAAAGATTGGCTCAAAATGTCTCCACTTTTTGCTTCACATTGATTAAAAATAACACTTAAATCATGTAATGTAATTTTAACTTTGATACAAATATTTAATTTGTTTTCAATGTATTTGATGAAAAACTTGATTTAATTCCTCTTAGAAAGTATATCTTGAAGTAAAATCAAATTTTGCTAACAGTTGTAGTTTGATCTAACTCGATCTCCTTTAAAACTTTATTTTATCGGAATTGTAACAAATCAATTATAATAATCTTTGAAAAATGAAATAATTAACAACTGCTTCCTGGCAAGAATTCTATCATCCAATAAGTCTTTGCAATTTATTTCGATGTCACAACGTTTTTGTCAACTGCAGCTTCTATACTTCGGAGTAGCCTTTGCTTCCTCGACGTTTAAATATCCGGAGTGAAATTGTTTTGGTTTTCTCCACACTGGCACTGACACTTTGCAAAACAACCGCGGAAAATGAATAAACAAAGGATTATAAAATGAACCCTTTATTTCTGCATTTGACGCGGAAAATTGGGCTGCCAATTAGTTGAAACCGCAAATGTGGCTTTGCGAGATGACTTGAAAGTGGAAACCTTTCAAAACTCCTTTTAATTTTGAATTTTTCAATTGCGAATATTTAAGAAGTAATTTAAAAACTTATTTCGGTCATAAAATATAATTTGTGAATGTAAAACCAAAGCTTTTGATATCTACATTGAAATTAATTCTCAGAAAACTTTTCCCATGTGAAATCTACATAAATTTTAGTATTCTCACTGTCCTATTGATTTTATTTTTCCATCTTAAGTGGCGTGATTTGAACGTGATTAATGAAATTTTTATCAATTTTAGTCAAGCTAATTTTGAGGAAAAATTAGTAATTTTTAGAATATTCCCATCCCATTATAAATAATTATTAATTTCAAAAATTCAGTTTTACCAATTAATTCAAATTTGATGAAATAAAATCCGACTTCCTCGGTGGAGATGAGCAACTTTATTGTTTCTGCACGGTACAGAAAAACAACAACATCAAGAACCTATTTAGAAACATAATTCAAATTTCCTTGCGAACTGAAATTTACAATCTACAATGATTATTTTGGTTATTTCCAAATTTAAACCAATAAATTTGTTTTGTTTGCAATTTGATCCTTTCACCGAGCCGGACAGAAACAATGGAAATTTTCATTTGGCCGGGTTTAGCAAAGGTCGCACGGATATAAATGAGGTGGCAGGCGAGCCTATTAAGTGAAAAGCTTTAAAGCTCGCTCGAATTTGGTCCGCAGCGCAGTAATTCGGGGATAAATACGCCCATTTGCACCATTGTTTTCGACGCGCCCCGTTAAGATAAAAAGGCAGTAAAACGAGTGGGAATCGCCATTGATTCGCCGCAAACAGCAGCAGCCCTTTCTTCTTTCCTCCTTCCCAGAGAAGAAAATGTAATTGCTCAAGTCGGCCGGCCGACCGGCCGGGCTTGGCCCCGCACCAAAATTGGACCCATTTCTCAGTCGACGCGATTAATATATGGTGGCGTGGCCTGGAACTGAGCTAAAGAGCAGAAAGGGAGCGCGTTTGATGCTGGACGGACAATGCGGGCCAAAATAATGGGCCCTAATGCTCTTGGATTTGACCGCAACGCGCGGTTTAGCCAAATGCATCAAACGACGAACGCGAAGCAACATTTTCTGACTTGGCACATAAATAATGGGATACAGATGAGGTCGTCCCAAACCACTTCTTGACCCAACAACACTTCCTTCCCAAATTCCAACAGATCATCCATTTTGGAATAATGATTTTCATTTGAATTTTTGTTCCAGGACTGGACGCTGCAAGTTAAATTTGTGCAAGAACGAGACGCAGGCTTGTACGAGTGCCAAGTGACGTCTCATCCGCCAACAAGTATTTTCATAGAACTCCGAGTGGTTGGTGAGTAACAGTGCAATTAAATTTTAAATTTAATTTACCATAAAATTATACACAAATCATAATTTTAGAGACTATACGCTTTAAAGATTATTCATAATAAAGATCAATAAAAATCACCAGAGTCAGTTTTCAAGAGAATGATAAGTTATAATAAGTTAATTATTTTTATTTTTGATTAATCATGAAGAGCAAAATTACAAAAATTAGATTGAAAATAACTAAGAATATATTATTATAAAACAGTAAAGCAGAATTCTGATGGAAATTGGTAGCACTTTTTAATGTTTTATGTAATTATAGAAAAAAAATCAAAACTTTTGATTTATAAATATTTCTCTTTCCATTAATGGAATGATGAAGTTTCCATTGAATTTCATGTAAATACAATTCCAAATCAATAATAATCTCCGCCGGTTGCCAGAGCAAAACCTCCGCCCCGTTTATCAACTAGGACAAGTCGTAGGTCCTAAAATAGCCGAAACGTGGGCGGTTGTCGCAGAAACAAGCAAGTGACTGAGTGAACCTGATCGCTGCGGGGCTTGTTGAGAAGTCGGTAAAAAGCTCGGTCTGGACTGACTGCCTTCGCTCGTAATTTTCGGACCAGTGAAATAGGGTTGCGAAATTGCAAGTGAGAGCTTGGGTGTGTCGTTGAGCTAGAAAGAAGCTCCTCTCCAATCGCATTTGCATCTTTGTTGCACGCCAAACCAAGAAAAAAGCCCCGGAGGAAAGAAAAGTGCACTCGGCTTTATTGCCACGGATCGATGTTAAGCAAGTTGAGAGTGCAAGACTGCACTTTAGTTTTGCTCTTTAATGGCAAATCTCGCCGGCAGGTACGTTGGAATTGCCATTCGCTGTTCCGCCTTTGCGAAAAATCCAATTCATTTGAAACAAAGAATTGTTCGCTCTCTCACGGCAAAGCAGAGAACGTAAAGGATCAATCATGCAAAACGTACTCTGTGATTAAATACTTCCGCCCACAGAAAGAAAGAAACGACGGATAAAGGGCTGCGCTGAAAGAACACACAGCAGCGCTTCGGAATTTCCATTAAAAGCATTTTATTTTCGAGTGGGAAATTACAAAGATTGATTTGCTCTTGGCCAATTCACTCTAAAATCGCATTCAATTCAATGAGAGAAATCAATTTTTTTTTCATTCTCTAATAAATCATAATAAATGTTTAAATTAATCTAAAGAAATGCTTCAATGTTATTTAAATAATTATTAATTATTTTAAACAAAATGATATGAATTTTACTTATTTGAAATCTTTTTAATTAAAAGTTCTGTTAAATATTTTGAAATTAAAGACATTTTGTTTCCAAACTTTTGCGAATTGATTTCCTGATGTAAAAGTGAATCGAGGAAATTGATATTATTTTTAATTCACAAAATGTTTAATAATTTCTTACAATTCATAATTCGCATTATTCCATTTAAATTTGATTCCAAACTTTTCGTTTAATTGCTGTTGTTGATTGAATTGCAGAGGCGCGAGCGGAAATCGTGGGTCCCGCCGAGAAGTTTCTGAAGACGGGCAGCACGCTGAAGCTGTCGTGCGTGTTGCGGCAGAGCACGCAGCCGCCGCTGTTTGTGTTCTGGTACCACAACAACCGCATGATCAACTACGACGTGGACCGCGGCGTGAACGTGAGCGCCGACGAGAGCCGCACCAGCTCGACGCTGGTCATCTCGGCGGCGCAACGCACGCACTCGGGCAACTACAGCTGCGTCCCCAACAACGCCCAGCCCGCCTCCACCTACGTCCACGTCCTCAACGGTCAGTCATTTTCACAATTAATTCCATTTTCTATTCACAAGCAGAAAAAAATTGCACTTCCTTTCATCGTTAAAATTATTTATTATTCCGTCCAAGATTTTCAGTTGAAATTTAAATTTTGGTGAAAAATTTTGGAAAAAATTTCTATAAATCCTCCAATATAATTAAAAATTAGTTTTTTTTTAATTTAAATTAGTACAGAACATTAAACAGAAAGCTTTTTATAGACACACTTGGAAAGTTAACTGCTGAAATTTTCAATTTATTTTGACTGAAATGTGCTTAATTTTAAGGTACTTTTAAGGCTCTTTTATCCTAAAATTTACGCTAACTTAATTTTAAGCCAAATTTCCTGAAAATTTGAGTAATTTTATCACTTCCATTTAAGGAAAATTCCACCAACATATTCCAAAAAGCACAAAATTTAATTGAAAAAACCCTTCCATTGCCACGATTCTATTTAGGTAGGTTAATTAAATTAAATCAATTTATCCAAAAATTATTAATAAAAAGATTTCTTTAATTATATTTTGCATGTTTGAGAAAAGTGAGCTTGTTGTTTTATTTACCAAACAGGAAATGTGAAAAGCGCCGAGTGGAAATATAATCGGGAAAAACTTATAGTCGTCTTCATTGTCGTCGGAAAACTTCTTTGATTTCCTATTCTTGAACAGATTGCGACAAATCCAAACGGCTGCTTTTATCATACTGCGTTCAACCCTTTCTTTTTCTTCTTTGACTCTTGCAGTTCTCACAGAGAATAGTTTTTTAACCATTTGCCAACGACTCGAGTCTGTTTGCAAACATATAATGCACATGCCCTGCGAGTTAGTAATAAAATTACTGATGCAGAAACTTCAAAGCCGAGATGACATCAAAAGAAAACTACACATATGTCATTCTCGTTGTTTCTGTGGAAAATATGTAGGTCACAAATTGTGAATGCAATCAGTCGTTTCCCTTTTGCATTCTCCTCTTTAAATGCACAGCTCACTTGATTTCCCGTCGTCGAAAGGCACGCATCGCTCGATTGGAAAATAAATAGACCAGATTGCTCTGGCGGGAGGAAATTGTTCGAGAACCGAGAGCATTCTTGATCGTTCTAGTGGTATTTCAAGTAAACAAAAGTCAACAAGGAATAAAAAGGTGACAAGAAGCCTTTGAAGAAACTTCAATGGAGATCAAAGCTTTTTTTATATTTTCACACATTTTGTTGATTTATTTATAATTTGTTGAATTAAAAAAGCCATAATATCCGAGGCCAGCTATTTATATTTAAACCTCACAAAGGGAAATTATAATAGTCTTTATAACATTTTTATTGTAATTTGAGTTTAAATAGAAAATAATTTATTCGAGTTTCATTCTTTTTTTATTAAAAAATATTGAGCGTTTGGCACATTCTGTTATTCCTTCAATTGTTGGAAACAATTTTAAATTAAATTTTATGGAGGGAAGTCTTTTTTTCGTTTGTCCTCTCTTGCAAATTGTAACTTTTTTCTTCCTTTTATATTTACTTGCAAATGCATCTGGAGTCAACTATGTAAATAAACATTGAACACTAATATAGCTGCTGCTCAAAAATTCATAAATTATTTATCCCGTACAAAACTTGATGATGAAAATCATCAAAAAATCGCCAGAATGACACTCACGGACGTGATCAATTGATAATTGAAACAAAAAACTTTTCTGCCGCACTTTTGCAAGGCAGCAAAAAATTGGGAAACAAAACAAAGTGCTGCGCGCACCAAAACGTGCCTGCAACAAAGAATTGGATTCGATTTATAGGGAAGCAGGGCGTGTAAAAAGAGTCGACAGCACTCCAAGACCTGCGTGGGCTTGCTTGTGCATTGCTTTTCAGTCATAAGCAATAAAATGGTACATTTCTCGGGGGCGGACGTGCCCTCTCGAGCTGCGCACTCGATATTATTCAATATCATTAACCGGCCCCGGTGAAGAGGCCGCCGTGCTCGAGTCCTGCGTTCGGCCTCTCTCGGCAGCCACACAATGCAATCCAACAACCAAGCTTTTGTCGAAGCAGACCTTTTGCAAATATTATTCAGCCCAATTTCGCTTTGAGCGTGCTTCAGATTTATATGCATTTGTTGGGGAGAAAAAAGAAGCAGGAAGAAATAAATATAAAAATTTCTCTATTTCTGCAAACAACGCTTTCCGTCGCGTGCACACGCATGACATGTTTGCTTTTCTTCAACATTTGTCTTGTGTAACACATGTGCAGAGCAAAGGTTTGCATAAATATTGCTTGAGTTATTTTAGACAAATATTTTAAGAGTTCAAACAATGTGACACTTTTATAGCATAAAAATAAGTTTTTCTTAAAATCCAAATTTGCCTGAATTTTTGTCATTAAACAATATCAATAGCAATTATTATTTAAAGAAGATACAAAGAAATTAAGAATGTTCTACAAATATTAAATCAATTCAAGAGAAAAGATTTAAAATGATACAAATATAAATAAAATCATTGAGAAAATCGCGAATTTAAGAAGAAAAATTCAAGAAGAATCGATCTCGGGCGGCCGCGTTCGACCTCGGGCGGCCGCGATCGACCTCGGGCGGCCGCGATCGACCTCGGGCGGCCGCGATCGACCTCGGGCGGCCGCGATCCACCTCGGGCGGCCGCGATCCACCTCGGGCGGCCGCGATCCACCTCGGGCGGCCGCGATCGACCTCGGGCGGCCGCGATCGACCTCGGGCGGCCGCGATCGACCTCGGGCGGCCGCGATCGACCTCGGGCGGCCGCGATCCACCTCGGGCGGCCGCGATCCACCTCGGGCGGCCGCGATCCACCTCGGGCGGCCGCGATCCACCTCGGGCGGCCGCGATCGACCTCGGGCGGCCGCGTTCGACCTCGGGCGGCCGCGATCGACCTCGGGCGGCCGCGATCGACCTCGGGCGGCCGCGATCCACCTCGGGCGGCCGCGATCGACCTCGGGCGGCCGCGATCGACCTCGGGCGGCCGCGATCCACCTCGGGCGGCCGCGATCGACCTCGGGCGGCCGCGATCCACCTCGGGCGGCCGCGATCGACCTCGGGCGGCCGCGAGCGACCAAATAAAATATGCATATCACCAAAATCTTAGAGCAGCTTAATTTACAAATGAAAATCGCTACAATAAAACTGTTCTTCGGTGCATTCTACTTTTTGTAATGGAAACACTTACGCAAGCAAGCGTTTTGCAAGTCTGTTGTTTCCACAATGAAGTGAATAAATTGCTCCTTCTCACGGTGTTTGTGCCAAGATAGTGCGGCGGGATAGATACGGCGGCATTAACCCCCGAAACTGCTCCATTTAGCCGGAACTCCACCTTTCTGTGCTCAGAAGTTGTGCGTCAGGACATTAGCCGCTGGCGGGCTGCAAACGCGCACCGACAAACAAGCCTCAGAACTTGTGTTGCTCTCATACATGGGCGCAGCGCATTGTCTGCAAGTTTAATTAAATTTCATTGTACAACTAACTCGAGCATAAAACTTGAGAGGGCCTCCGGTGCGTGCGAGTGCCGCGCTTAAACGTAACGGCGCTTTCATTTTTTAGCCGGCCCGCGCGCGCATGCAAATTCGGAAACCGCCGCGCTGCGTTTCTCGCATTCCTCGGCAAAAGATGGCAAATATGGGCGAACGTGCGGAAATAAATTGCTGCGTTTAATTGCGCACGGTCTTGGCGCCGCCCTCATTAATATTCGCGCCGAGTTGCCTAGGATGGGGTCCACTTTGGAGGAATAATCTGGCCTCATTAATCCGCGCGCAGCACATCCGACGCCGTTACCACCGCAAACTGCTGCTTGCTGTCCTGCCGACGATTTTTCTTGATGGACTCTCGCACATTTCAGTTCATCCCGGCGCAATTAAATATCAGAATTTAAATGATGTAATTGAAGGAAAATAAGTTTAATTCCAAATGTTTGGGGCAATATCGGAAAATTATTGGCACAAATCCCAAAAGATGTGATATTTTTTGACCTGCTAATTGTATAATTAAGGATCAGTGAAATCAAGATCTATAATCTATAAAAATCAATTTAAATAATATGTATTAATTCCTCATCCAAATCCTTCTGGGTTAAACATTATGGCAATTTTTTATGTTCAAACTCGAGCTTTTCCTCTAAATTTATTTATTTTTATTCATTTATTCTCCTTTCCATCTCCTTAAATTCAGATGTATGTCCTAAAAATAGACAAAGCCCCTGTACTCACAGATGTATGCAACCTGCTGCGCATGTCAGGCGAACTGTTTGCCTAAATTTATTCTTCAGAACTTTCTATTTATGTAAAAGGTGGCAATCATATTTTTATGTTTTTGCTTGATTTTTTTTTGCTCGTTAGCTCTAATTTGGAAATTCATCCCTTTTTCTCTTTACTCATTAGTTCAAGCGACTTTCACTTTTGTTGTTTCCTTGTTTATTTTCAAACTCTTATTTCTGCGAAGTCCCTTTGCTGTTTGTCGCTTTGGAAAGCTCGATAATTTGGCCCCGACAACAATTGCCTTTAAGGACTTCTTATTGACATAGTCAAATCAAGTCCTTGCAACAATATAAACAGATTTTTGCGATTGTTGAAAGACAATTGGAAATTTTAATCACCATTGTTGTAAAGACTTGATTTGACTATGTCAATAAGGAGTCCTTAAAAACACGCCCGAGTGACACTTTTGCCTCGGCACGCCGTGTGTAAATTACAATTTCTGCCGCGAGTTATTTGCTCAGACGTTTGATGGGCTGCATTATGAAGACGAAGAAGTCTGACACGCCACTTTTACAATACAGCTGGCGTTTTGGGACCCGCCGTCGTTTTATATGAGTTTCCGTCCGTGATGCATGTGCCAACCCTGCTCCGCCAGTTCAATCTAAAAACCGAGGCAAAAAAAGGAGGAGGAGGCGAATACACAAGCGGGCGAGCAGGCGAATGTTTTGCGGAATACTAAAGAGAAGCTCTCGATATAATATTATTTTCCCGTTCGTGCCGTTTCCTTTTTCCACAGAGATGAAAGGAAAAGCAGAAAAGCAGCAGCAGCACAGAAAGGGGGCGAGGGAGAAATTGCAGCATAAATTAAAGCCGACGTTATTCCAGTCGCGCCTTTTTGCGAACTTCGTTGAATGGCAAAACACACGCGTGGTTTGGTCCGGGCCGAATGAAAATTTCCAACTCGTCTGATGTGAATCTTGTCTCTGGCATTGAAAACCTGCTGTGGGGGAGATAAAAAAGGTTCAAAATATGTGAATTCTCCCCCAATGTGATCAACATAATGAAAGATACTGATTGAAATCATCCCTGAGCTTTTTAATCAGACATGGATGTTGATCTATTTTATTCGAAAGTAAAAGCAAAATTATCAGCTGTCCCTGTGAGTAAATTTCACGCCAATGCAAAACACAAATTGAGAATGAAACGCGGTTTAATTATTATTGGGCTGTAAAATTTATTGTTGATTAAAGACGATTTATTGCCTTTTATCTCTGAATAAACTTCAAATTTGTTTTAGAATATTAAAAGCAAACCGGATTTTGGATTTGATTCTGAGAAATTCAAGAAAAATGTTGCTAAAAATGAATATATTCTATAATGTGAGCTGGAAAATAATAAAACTTCCAAGGCTATGCAGAATTGAAAATCATGCAAATATGAATAAAAAGTTCGCAGCAAGTTCTTGGTAAAATAGAAAAGAAGGTGAATCAATTGTGAAGCGTGTACGGTGGAAGAAATTGCTTCTTCTTTTTTGTTTCGAAATAATCCGTTTTATTAAAAAGAGCGCGCTGCAGCCGGAGGATTTGTAATGAGAACAAGACAAAGAGGCTGCCGACGATATTAAAATTTTGTTTGCTCAAAGCAGCAGCTAAATAAAGAGAGAAACTAGGACGATGTAATGAGTTCAAGTGGCACATTAATTAATTTGTGTGCAATATCGTCTCTCTCGCACTTCCATCTATTTAGTTGCAAAAGGTGTTTATTGATGTCTCAGTAGGGTAACTATACCCCATTCTTCGACATATCAAGAAAGTTTTACAATAACCATTAGCTTGGAGAGAGAAACTTACATTATCAATTGATTACAAAAAATTAGTTGAACACTTGAAAAACCAGAAAAAACACATTGATTGGGCAGAAAAACAAAATTTAACTTGAATTCAACACTTCGGCTGTCACTTAATCGGTTTCAACATTATCTTGAAAGTTCGTATCAAAGACTATCTTCGCATGATTCTCACTCAATCAGTCACTGTTGCTGCCAACACTTTCGCTGCTGCCACTGCTGCTATAGTCATCTGTTGATAAAGCAAGTACACGTTTTATACTAGGGTCCCTTTTCCATTCTCTGACTTCTTGTATGCTTTTACCCCATTTACGAGCTGTTAATTCTGTGTTTGACATTGACCTTGATTTAACTGGGGCCATTGGTGTGGATACCTTAATCATAAGCTCCGCACGAGGCGAAATGGGCAAATTTTGCGGGACGCTGCTCTTACTCTCTTCTGGAGGCAGGAATTTTTCCATCCACTCATCACTGTCCAGTGCCTCAAGAGGCACAACTTGTCCATTGACACTCAAACCCTGCCGCTGCACTTTCGTTGCGATGCCCTTCTCCGCAGCCTCTTTGCATGCCTTGACTATTTTGCGTCTCTCGCGCCTCTTTGCTGGGGACAGATCTTCCGAAACAAATATACCTGAGCCTTTAAGACGAGGTGCCAAGCGCACTGCTTGCTCTTTATCTACCTCATCCTTAAATCGAACCAAAATTGGGCGACTGGGGCCGTCGCGGCCGAAACGAGTTGCATGCTTAATTATCTCGTTTTGAGGACACTTTTTGGTTAGTCTCAATTGGTCGAACAGCACATTATCAACGGCCTCATTCAAATTTACTTCGGATGGAATTCCGAAAATAATTGCATTTTTGCTTCGCTTTTTTTCTTCCAACGCGGTCACTCTCTCAAATAGCTGGGAAATACAAGTGGCCAGTTTCTTATTCTCAGCCCAAAGAGCGTCAATCCTTTCAGCATCAGTCGTTAATTTTTCAAACTGGTCATCAAAGGTTTCTGGGCCAGGATTGCTTTCAATATCAGCACACGCAATAAGCAGAATCATAAAGTATGAGCCGACTCCCAAAAATGTAGTGACGAATGACCTCGGATTACATTGTTCGAAATTGCATAGCTTGCCTGTTATCAACTCGAGCGGTGTGTAGGTGCTGGACATTCCATGCGAGAATAGCAGGTACTGAGCAGGTTGGTGTGGCCCTACACGCCGAATTCTTCTTTTCGCCGCTCGGCTCGTTCGCTTCTCAATGCACCCAAAGTGCACCAGTAGACGCCAAACTGGGAAATCGGGCCCCCGGACAGAAGAGGCGCCGTCCGCGCCGTCCGGTTGCCAGAATCCGCAGCCTGGACCTTCATAGTCACCACTGTCAATTTGTCCCGTCAAAATTGGTCGCAAAACGGCTGTAAAGCTGATTAAAAGCAGCAGCCACTGCAGCGCGCGTGCAGCCATGTTCACTCCCACTCTCTCTCTCCAACTGCCTTCGGAGAATTATCATATGAAGAGTTGATGAACATTACAACAATTAAAGTTAACAATTTAAAAAAAGGAAAGTATTTCATAAATCAATAATTAAGCACTTTTGAATAAAAACACCTTTGTTTCTTCAGCAGAACTGCATGCCTGAAATCATTTAGCGCATCGGCAAACACGAGTTAGAATGCAATTAATGCATCACGGCGCCCTCTTTTAAATTATTACGCTTGGCCGGCCACAATGGCATGCATACAAAATTATCAGACGCGCCGCTCAATCCCATTAGCGCCGGGCATTGATACGTAGTGCTTAATTATGGCCGCACCTCCCTTTTTTGCCTCACTGCGCCGCGCAATTTGTTTCGTCCGTCCATCAATCTTTCAGCGAGTGATTTAGCTCCTGTTCGCGGTTTTATGCCGCCCTTTCAAAGCACCACTGTCGGCGATAATCGTTTCTCTTGGAAAGATAATTTTATCACCAGAATTTATTCCATTTTATTTTGACATATTATTGAATAAAATGATAATGATTACTTTACTAGAGAACATTAAATTTAATTAACCATTTGAATATTGCGAACTTGGCCACTTCAACACTTCTGACTTCCTCCATCAATATCACTTCCAGACAGTTTCATTGTGAGTTCTTCGGGTGGTTTGATTTTTGTACCGTGCTTAATTCCTTGTTATGGTTAAGTTTCTCTTAGTATTTTAGTCGTATAAAGTTAAAAATATTTAGAAGTTAGAAGGCACTAGCAACGCCGTGCTGAAAGAGAAGTTGAACACACTCGACGCTGTTGAATTTTTCTGCAGTTTGCAATGCTTCTCTTCCGACCCGACCGCGCAGCTCAATTAATCCACTTTCAATCACCAATCCAAGCATCTTGTGGTGATTCTTGCGAGAAGCTTTCTTAACAGCATGACTCATTTTATTATCATCCGCTCGACATTTTTGAATTAGACTGTTAGTGGAACACTTTTTTACGAGCGCAGAAAAGAGGAGCTCAAAATTTTTCTGAATCGCACCGGAAAGTATTTTTGTGATTTCTTTGATTTTTGAAAATTCAAAGCTTTCAAATGCGCCAAGATTCAAAAGTTTCAAGGCGATTTTTTCGCTGTTCCAACAAGCCTCTTTTAAAATTTGATAGCTATTTTCAAAATGAAATTTTAATTTGCTGCCATTGTTGCTGAAGGATATTTGGTTCTCAAAAAGCGAGAACATGGTTGACAGGTTTTCGCTGATGAAAATTTCAAAAATCGTTTCTCTGGTAATGTTCTCACTTAAAACTTTGAACAATGAATTCAAAATTGGAGTTTCTTCATCTCTCAACTTGGATATTTTCATTTCCACAAATTTTCTAACTTGTCTGTATTTTTGTTCCAATAAATCCAAAGGCATTCCATCATTATTTAATATTTCTTCCTTCAGGCATTCAATGTAATTTTGAGCAGCGAGAAATTCCGCGAACGTTTGGTGCACAAAAACGATGTTTCCATCAATCAGAGTCACGATTCCATTGCGGGGATATTTCAAGTCCTTTACACTCTTGTTATTTAGATATGAAAGTGAAATGGTTTGCAGTTCTTTCTCACAATATTCAAATTCCATCTCGTACCTACGACTCCCGTATATGTAATCTACAGCAAGCATTTCACTTATTTTCTTCTTGACAATTTTCTCGTAAATGTTAAACAAGTTTTGAGAATCGTTTCCCAAAAATGATTCTTCTAATTGAGCGATCATTGTCAAGTGAAGAGGATTGCTCATGACATCGTCAGATCCGTTGTTTTCAAAGTTTTTGATCAACCTCTTGCATTCATCGGCATCCCTTTTTGAAGTCATCTTCAAAAGGTCAGTTTGATTTTCTGCATCAAGGGGCAAAATTCTGGCTTCGCAGATTTTCTGCCAATCGCCCAGTTTCGTCCTTATCGCAACTTCTTCTTGCGGTCGCGTCGAAATCCAAATCGGAATTTCTCTTTCAACCGCTTTTTGTAGCAAATTTAGCACCGCATCCCTTCGAAAGGGGCAAATCTCGTCAAATCCGTCAAACATCAGAATGATTTTTTTCTCCATGATTAAAAATTCAATTTCTTTCTCATCAACTCGAGTTGCAGATGAAATCACAGTGACCAAGGAAGGAGACACTTTTTTATTTGGAAGAAGACTTAAGACGTCTTGCAAAAGGCTGATTTTGAAAACCTTGACCCTGCAAAGTCTCCTTTGAAGTTCAAGAGCGATTTCGCTCATCACGGTCGTCTTTCCTGAGCCCGAAAGGGACGACAAAAGCCAAATAGGATTCTTCTCCACTTCCATCGCTTCTTCAATTAGCTTTTCTAAATACACACGATCAAAAGAATCGTCGACTTTTATTCTGAAGTTTGGTTTGACGAATGTCCGCGCGAAATGCAGCGAGTACGGCAAAGTAGAGACAAGCATCGTTTGCGGGATAATTTCTTTCCTATCTTCATTTGATTGAACGAGCAGGTCGTCCAGGCATTCCTGAAGACTCCTCTCGCCTTTTATTTCCATGCTCACTAAAACCTCTAAAAGTTTTGGCAAAAGATCTGAAACGTTTCGCAAAACAAAAAATAAAGTTGTAAAAATGATTGTTTATGTAAATTAGACCTTTGTTTCGAAGAATAAAAATCATCCAGCCGCTGTGAGGGGTCGCCTTTCGAAATTTTATTTTTGGTTGGTTTGATAGTGTCTAAAATTTAACGCATCAGTACATAAATATATTTCAATGATTTAAAAATTACCCCTGCAGCGTCCCCAGCCGCTGTCCCTACGTCAATCAGGAAGAAAAGCTTCGGTTTTCCCCGCCACTCTTTTGACTCTGAGCCAAGAAGCGAGTGAATCAACTCGCCGATCGGTTTTTGCTCATTTCCACTCAGGTTTACGCAAACTTGATTCTCCTTATTTTCTGTGACTTGAGCAAAAAAGAAGGCTGCGAAGCATCCGTACTCGATCCACGATTTTTCCGCTGAAAATATTTTGTTAAGGAACTTGAAAAAATTATAATTATATTTCTCACTCAATTCCTGAAAGTACTTCTTTACAACTTGAGAGTCTAATTTTATTTTTTTAGTCTCAAATCCAAGATTTTCAGAGAGAATGAATTCTAATTCTTCAGTCTCGTTTCCTTGATGAAATATCGCTGCCAGTTTTCCTCTGAAAATGGATTTTGAGTGCGGATTCATCCAATCAAATTCAATTGTAGATTGCACCTGGCCTGATCTGAAGATCGCTGCTTTGCAACTACAAATAACTTCAGTAAAAAAAAAAAAAAAATAATGAAAATAAAAATCTGACCAGTTTTCCATTACAGAAAATTTGAAGATTCTGTCATGAGGAAACATTTTGGTTTCCATTGTTTGTTCCATTTGCTTTCCATTAATGAAAGTAAGTTTAGTTGCCCATTTGTGAGTTCTATTTTGAATTCCGGTGGAGAAATGAGCAATGCTCTCGTTCTCTCTCATCAGATTGAGCTGTTCACACAAACACTGAACAAGCCAAGTCCCCTTATCTTTATCTCGGCCTGCGTTTGTTGCTAAAAAGACATTTCTTAGTAATGGTTCAGAACTTTAAAAAATCCAAGTCACTTTCAACAGTTGAGTAGAAAATGACCGTGTTGTGCATTTTTGGCTCAAACGAAACTTTGCTTGAATAGTTTTTTGTCGTGTCTTGGTTTTCTGTAGGATTTGAATCTCCAATATCAAGTCCGCCTCTGCACGGCTGCAAGTGGGAATCAAGGTGATGTTTACCAAAAATATTTATTAAAAAAAAAAAAAAATTATCAACATACCCCAAGGAATATGAGCCGCAAGCTATTAGCAAATGTTTTTTCCAGTTTCCCAAACAATTGCTTTGTGTTGAATGAGTCGTAATCTTTCGGTCCTGGGCCGATATTTTCGTCTGTGTAAATCTTCCCCTCGGAACCTCCGTGCGACAAAATGATGAAAATAAACACCGATGGCTCTGCGTCTGTTTGCATTAAATAAGATCCAATTTTTCATGTACAAAATTTGTACCTTCTGAAGCAAAAAATTTCTTTAGAAGTTGCCCGTCGGCCAACAGAGCCAAAAGGTCCTCCTTCTTTGGCGACGGCAAATCTCTGAACCGGCAGTTTCGGTTTACAGCAAATGTTTTCCTCAGGTTCGCAACATCCTTGTCGTTTCCTGTCCGGGGCCAATCGTCTTCGCCGTCCTTGAAGTCGTAGTGGGCGACGAGCACGAACACGCTTTAAAAAGATAAATTTAATTTTAATCTGAAATAAATTATCGTGTTTCACTTTTCAGCGTTTTCGCGTCCGTCATCATTTTTGAAAAAGCCAAGCTTTGCAGCCCCATCAGGAGAGCCATTTTCATGCCCTGGTTGCAAAAATATTATTATTGGCTTTTAATAAATGTAATTCAATGTACAAACCTTCGATTAACGCTTTATTTAATGTTTCGCTAAGTGTCATTTTTATTCAGTGATGATCAAATGCACATTGAAATAACGGAGAGCAGCAATTCATCTGGAAAATTTAATAATTGTTTAAGATTAAATTTGTAAATTTATGGTGATTTGAATTGAAAAGAGAGCAGGATATTGTTTTTTCTTAAACAATAAAAGCTCACAAAAACCCATTGAGGAAAAGTCGAATTTAAATTCAAATCACTACGATTCGACCCTCGATCGTGAACTTCTACTAAAAAATTTTAAATTTTTATTTATTGAATTAATAATACAATTATTGGTTAATGTGAAGAGAATTAAAATTGTAAAAACAAAAGATACACTTTTGAAAGGAACATATTGCATAAAAAAAATAATAAATCAATAAAAATTATAAAAAAAATTGAATCTGAGCTGCTATTTATTTATTTATTTAAACTTTTAAATAAAACTTCTAAAACTTTTAAATATCTCTATAATTTTATCGTAAATGTTTTAGTTATAAAAAAGAGCTAAAAATGGCCAAGCACTTTAAACCTTAGGATTTATCTCTTTTGAACTAAAATAATTTAACATCGCCGTTGTTGCGGTTATCTCGTCAAAATGCTATTAGATAAAAATGCGAGACCGCCTTGTTTAAAATAATACTGCATGTGTGTGAGTTGAAGATGTGAAATGGAGACAAGAAGAAGCTTTCGAGATAATATTTCTTCAAGCGTCGTTGAAAATTAGTTTGGTGCATAATATGGCGTCATTTTATATCAATTTCATTGTAGATAAAAAAAAATTGGATTTAAAATGCATGAATAATAACTCCAGGGCTATTTTATATAATTAATTTTATATCCAAATTAACTTCCTTTAAACCACGATCAATATTTCGTTTATATTTTTTGATGCAGAGCTGAAATTTTCTTAGTAATTTTAGATCTCGAAATGAACTCGATTACACGGGTCACAAGTGATTTATTTCGTGGAAATATTAAATTAATTCTACAATTTTTTCTTACCATCAGTCCATCGTCGCGCCTCTACAGAAGTTCCCTGTCAGATCAATGTCGAGCACAAAATGATAATGATTGAGATGAGTGCAATTTTTTATAGTTGAGACTAATCTTATCTGATCAAAGATGGAAAGTCTAACTTTACTGCGTCATTTGGAGTGTGCTACGGATTATAATTTTATTTAATATCTAGCTCAATTACTACAATTGCATAATTTTATAATTAGAACATGAATTTTCATAAACTACCGTGAAATAAAATAAATGCGGGAAAGCTGCATTATTTCTTTTTTTCCTTTTTTGTTTTATTAAAATGATCTATTGCTGACTTGAAGTTACGTCAAAATACTTAGAGCACCCATGTAAATCTGTTGCGTGTTTGAAACAGACTAAAGTAGAAATTTCTGGAGCGCAAATTAACAAATTAATGTGGAAACATTTGATTAAACTAGCTTATAATCTACTGCAAATTTATTACAAAACTCTCTGATTATTTAAACGCCTCTTGAAACAGGGCCATTTGTGATATTGAAAAATGTAGTTTCAAAAACCCAACTTGTAAGAATCTAAAAAATCACATTACAAATAACCAGTTAGTATAAAAAATTTAAAAATGTGAATTTTCAAATTTAGTTTCTCACTTTAATTTAAACGTTGAATTGAAATATCGAATTATCTTTATGTTTCGTTTCTTTTCTATAAGTTTCTTTATTTAAAATTAAAAAAATTGTCGATATAAATAACAATATATATTTTGAAAAATGAAGATTAATTTTAAAATTGTATTGTTTCAGCTGGCGAAAACCCGGCGGCGATGCAAACTGGCGGTCGCGGCTTGTCGTGGCTGCGGTCGCCGTCGGTGTGGCTGCTGGTGGGGTGCGTGGTGCTGACCGTGTCGGCGGGCCGGGGGTTGGAGGCGGCCCCGAGCAGGACTCAGACAGTGCTCCTCTGAACGGCCCCCGCCGCCTCTCGAAACAGTTTTTGTGATAATTGTGATGATGTGACGAAGTGGAAGGCGAACTCGACACACCAGCCGATCTCTTATTAAACCATTTATCATCCGCGCGCCTGCAGAAAATCATATTTTTATCCCCATCCGTTTTTTATCTCGCTGACCTTCCGAGGCCGCCGAAACTTGGCCCGGCCGGCCGACGGATGGATAAGTAAGTATCACTCCCTGTCACTTTTTATCACTCGCCACGCCAAACATGTATTTCGCCAAGTTCTTCTTCTTCTTTGTGATATTTGCCCGCCTTCGTTTCTCTTGGGACTTTGCGCTTCCTTTTTTCGCCGCTTCCTTTGTTCAAGAAACGCTCTTTTTTCTAATTTTTCTGACAGCAAAAAAGTAACAATAAAAAAATTGTTTCGGAATCTTTCTGTACATAATAGAAATTTCAACTAAAAAAAATATATTTGCAGAAAATTTCATCAAAATTTACAGATAAAATGAGTTAATAAAACACAATTTCACATTAAAATTGTGGCCTCTGGATAAAGGTAGATTGATTTTGTATGATCTGAAACTAAAATAAAACTCAACTTTTTTTCAATGAATTATGTCAACAGACAATCAACTCCAATTTAAAATAAATTACTTTATCTAAAATCCTTTCATCTAAATAAAAAAAAAATAAAATTTAAGTTATTTCTTACGAGCAATTCATTCAAAGTAGCTTTTTATGCCTTAAAAGAGAGTTTTTTTTTTTATAAATAATAAAACATTATCTTTCTTCTGTAACGGCCAATTCGGAAACACGCTCGGCGTCAATAATAAGTTTCCCTTACTTGAGTTACGGCCATCGAGCTGCTGCCCTCATTATTATTTATGAAGACAAAAGTCGGGAATAAAATCCATTTCCATACGCATAATAAATCTTTTACGGCTAAATACGCTCTCTGGCCATAAAAAACTTTCTCTCTTGTGTACTTTCGCATGTGTTTCATGTGAGCATCCAATGTGCAAAATAAATAGTGTTCGCCCAACAGTAACCATTGATTTACGGCGGATTCTGTGCCTGCCCCACTTTTTAACTCCCGCGGAATGCTGTTTATTGCCACTTTTTACTGTCATTGCATTACAACGACTTCTTCTTCGTGCTCACAATAAATCCACTTCAAAAGAAGTCGCCCTATCGCTGATCGTAAAATTTCAATTTCGATCCAGAGCGATTTTTTTTGTTCCACTAGGTGAAAAAAAAAACTGCGGATATGTTGAAATCAGTTTATTTCTTTCGTGAGTGAGTTTTCCCTCGAGCGAGCATAAACTCAAGACTCGAGTCGGATAAAAAAATAAACAGGGCTAAGTTGGGCTCAAGTTTCGCGTGCCCGAAATTGTTTCACTCGCGCGCACAGTCGGAGCAAGGGTCGCCGTTATTGATCAGAAATATTGTTCTCCATTTATCAGAATTCCCTTATTTAACTAAGAATAGATGCAAGAGTAAGGAAATTTTAAACTTTTATTACCTAACAAAACTTTATTAAAGCGGGAAACCGATATTATGTATTCCTCAATGTAAAAAAGACCAAATTTCTAGACCAAAAAGCCAAAATTACAAAAAAAAATTATTATTTTCAGAACACTATTGGTTCATTTGGGAGTTCACTTTTTCCCGCCAAACAAATTTGAACCTCAAGGGTAGTTAATCCTGGTCGCAAATCACTAAATTAAGCTTAAACAGAAAATATTGTTAAAAATTCCTCCTCCCCCCATCAAGTTTTAAACGATTTTGGCGCGAAAACGTGTTATCTGACTTATCTGGGAAGAACCATTAAAGCTGCACATTTTTTTTTTATCTCAATTTCGATTTTGTATGTTAAATTTTTGACATTTTAAAACTCAGGACTAAAATAAAAAGTTCCCATTTAAGATCTACTTATTGGCAAAAGTCAAATCAAGTCTTTAAAATAATAGGGGCTGTTTTTGGCAGTAAAAATCATTAGAAATTTTAAGTACCACTGTTTTAATTACTTAATTTGACAATGACAAAGAATTTCTTAGTAATTTACTTTATTTTACCTTCAATTATCCTTTTAAATTTTCAGATGTAAATAAATTTCCGACGAAAACAATTTCTGTTCAATGAGGGTTTCCCGCCTAGAACCGGCGGCTCTTTGCTCTCGCGTGCAACTCTCAGTATTCTGAATATTTATTTTGGTCCGCGTGTGTGTTCGCAGAAGGGCTCATCCACCCCAGCATCTGAATCCCGAATCGACTTTTTGTTTTAGTTTTAAACGAGGAAGACGACGCGGAGTTATTGACTTTATGGCAGCATCCGCGGTGTTTTGTCAAGACGGAGAGGAGCTGGCTCGGAATCGGCCCAGGGCAAAGTGGCGACGATATTGTCTCGTAAATACACACTTGAGTGAAAGCAGCGGTAACTTTTATTAAGAGAGGCGAATTTCGCGACAGAGTTCATTCTCTGCATCAGAAAATGGAACAGTTTCAGCCAAGATATATATAAATAAGGGAATTGTTTGTACATAACTCGGTCGGGCCAACCTTGCCCACTTCCATCTTCTCTCTTCTCTCTCTCAGTTTTATGTTTACACATTCAATGTTAGAGCAGAGATATAAATATTATATAACTGTAAATACCTCTATTCCGTATCAAAAAAGATATATGAGTTGTGCAAATATACAAATATTTAAGCAGTGAGTGTTTCTATAAAAAAGAGCATCAAAAGAAGAGGAATTTATGTGCACAAAAGTGTTGGATTTATTAGGTAGTGCGCGAGTGTGAGGAAGAAAAGAGATTTTTTATCCGTCTTGTCGCTCTGCAATTTTCTCGCGGGTCGGATTTAATTCCATTAGGTGCGCGCAGGACATGTCACGCCGGTTTAATTAAATGACCTGTCCGACCTCCTTTGCTTATTTCTCAAAATGTCCTTCCGTTTGTGTATAATCTGGTGAAATGTCTAGCTCGGAGGGTGTGGAAAAAGTGCTCAAAATTTACCCAGTGTAGATAATAATCAATTAAAGAGGAATTCCGGTACATTTTTTCATTTCTGAATGTGAAAAAGGAATAAACTTGATGACCAACTATGAAATTAAAAACCAAACGTAAGATTCAAACAAGGAGTTTATTGGACTTTCATCTTTTCCCGCCAAACGAATTTGAACCTCAAATGGAGTTAGAGCTGATTGAATTTAGTTGAAAACAGCCAAAAAGCAATATCAACCCTCCCCATTACAAGGTTCAAATGTTTTTGGCGCGTAAACGCAATATTTGGTGCAAAATTTTAATTTTTTTAGTCAAGAATTGAACGTTTCAGTCGTGAAATTAGAAGGAAAGGAAAAAGTGCCGGTGTTTCTCTTTAATACAAACTCGTGCGATGAAAAGATTGTTTTTGTTGAACAGAATTTATAATATGAAATGCTTAATTTGTTGTTGTCACAAAGTGGCGGTGTTGGTTTTGCAACTCTAATGAAATCAAAGCCTGCTGCTGCGAATATACGTATCCATTAGCACAAACAAACAAACAGACACACGCGCCGACCGTATAAGAAACAAACTGCAGAAAGACCCTCATTCCCATCTTTGCTTGATTGTGTGCGTATTTAATATAAATAATGATGATGAAGACTTTAATTGTGAAGCAGCAACAGCCACTCGTCTCTCTGATAAAGTGCAGACACATTTACCAACAAAACACGCAAACAAACACGCAGGCGAGACAAATTCTGTTGTCATTTCACCACGCAACCCCCACCACTCGTCGTGACACAATTGTAATATTATTATAATATCGTTGTCAACGACAATTACGGAAAGCGACAAAATAAAAACATTGATCGTTATTGTATTTTATTAAATCATGCGCGTTTTATTAAAAATGTAAAACACCCACTAATTGGCAGTTTTTTTTATAATTCATATTGACAAATTTAGTTAAATTATTTGTACCCAAAACATGACAGATCAATCGGTTTTGATTAATGACTGCAGGATAAGTAGGCGTAATTCTGTTTTATTTTTCACTTTAATTATTAAATGCAATCAATCGTTTAAAACCAGCAGTTTCTATGAACACTTCACTTAATTACCTTTTAAATTTAAATGAAATAGATTTATTTTCACCCGCTCTCGCATGGCAAAATTAAGGATAGCGTTCCAGATGGAATTCCAACAGCACCAGATTCAGCAGCGAAAGTATTCAAGGATTTAATTGACCTACAATCCCGTGAAACACAAGGTAGGCTTTCCCACTTTGTAATTTCTCATTTATTTGATAATTTTTTTCTTTCATGATTATGCATTTTAATAAAGTCCAATGAAAAATAATTTGTCATATCTAAAACAATTTCAGTATATTTTCAAAAAATACAAAATATTTTAGTATTTCCACGTTTTTAGTTTTCTCCATTTTATAAAGTACTACTACTTTCGTAGTTATCAGTTAAGTTTAAATAATTTGAAATACATTTTAATTGATCAATTTTTATTGGAAATTGATATAAATAAACGAAGTCTAAAATAACAATAAAAACCCTCAAGCTTTAATAATAATAGACTTTTTCACTCCCGCAGCGTTCAGGAAATGGTGAACTTAAAATCAGCTTGATGGTGTCGGTCAGCGAATGTGGCATTTTCATCGGGGCCGGTCTTGTCACCTCGTTGTCATTTCGCACATTGTCCCAGGACCGGTCGTAAGGGAAAGTGGCGCGTTTAGATTTGAGAGGGTTGATAAGGGGGCGGCGAAGAAAGCTTTTAATTAAGCGTGGACGGCCCCGCACCCAACCCACGCATGTTCTCGTCTTTTACGGCTCGTGCAACACAAAACAACGCTCATAATCCGGCCTCATTTCGCGCTTAACACACTTTCGCCCACTTGGCTTTTATCGAAGATCGGCCGGGCTTGATCCGCCTTTTATTTTTCACTTGAGCCCCATCACGATTATGCAAATCGCGCGCGACTCGAGTATAGTAAATTGTAAGCACCTCGTTTTTGTTATCGCTCACAGTTATCATCTGCTTCTCAAGTGTTATCGTCCGTCGGCTCGGGACGAGTGCAAATCTTCGAATGAGAATTACAAAAGTTTTGCAATTATGACGAGAGTGACTTGAAATTCATTTAAATCGTCTGAGTCCAACAAAGAACAGAAAGGTTCAAAGTGATTTTACTAAATTGATGATTATTTTTATTAATTTCGTCGGTATTTTTACTCAATTAGAGGATTAAAAATTTTTAATAATTAAACTTTAACATAATTATGCTTCGCTAGAAAATGAACTAAATAATAAATGTTGCGGTTTCAGTCGACTGTATATAATTTTTACGATGTTATGTGAAAAGTTGGAAACGATTCCAAAATTTTGTCCCAGCGACCGGCGCAAGAAGGGCAGTGTTTTTTTCGCAGCTTCACAGTGGGTGCGGAGTTAATCTAGCGGAAGGTTTTGTCTAGTGCTGATAATTTCGAGCGGCGCGTTCTCACTTGATAAATCCCAAGTGCGATTGCCGAGAGCCGCGCGGGAGACGTTTTTCCTCGGCCCGGCCGGCGTGTCAGTTAATCACGTCGATGTGCCACCCTCTCGAACACGTATCGATTGCACTCTCGCCCCCGCCATACATCACCCTTTGCTTTCCAATTATAGAAATTCATTTTTGCGGACCCTCCGTCGGTTGGTCACTTTCCGGGCCAAGCGTAAAAAAAAACACGTTTCGTTTCCAACGTTTTTGCTTTTCGGGAGAGGTTCTTGCCAATTGGTAAACTCATCATCGGAAATTTCTCAAATTTATAAATAATTTTTAGTATTATTTGAAAATATCTATTAAAATAAATTTGTTCTTATCTCTTTTGTGAATGAGAAGTTGGGCTAAAGTATTGTCAGAATATTAATGAAAATTGCATATTGGGGCGCATGATCGGCATTTTCATTGTGTGGATCTTTTGCTTACAGCATTTTTGACAACACGAAAAATAAATCACTTTGGGCGTCGCGCGAGGAAAGAAGCAAACTCGGCTTTCAAGCGGGCTAAATATTTTATCTGCATTTTAAGCCCGGCTGAGCCCTGATTGAAGCGAGTCTAATCCTCGCGGCGCCTTTCTTTTCTTTCTTTCCGGAGAAAAAGCGGCGGGTGCGAAAAAAAAGTTTGTCATGTCCTTGTGTGTTTTGAATTTCAAAGGAAATCCATTCTCGCGCACTATCGGAGCAGGAGGAGGAGAAGCTGTAGAAATAAATTACGACGACGCGGCCAAAGAAAGAGCAAGAGAGAGGTATCCTTATTCCACGTGAGCGCGTTGCACCCTTTTCGAAATTGGGGTGGGAGGGCAGCCAGCGACGGGCCGGGGTGTCTCCAGCGGCATCTGCTCGCCAACACTGTAAATCTCCGCGCGCCAACTTGTACATTCTTCGGGCGGAGCGAACTTTTCCTTTCCCTGATGCCAGCGGCTCTGTTTAACCGAAAATATATTCGTCGTCGCCGCCGCAAATTGTTGTGTCTGTGCGTAAATAATGCAAAAGCTTGAATCACGCGTGCGCCGAAAAAATAAATGAAATTTCGGGACGGAGAATTTCAAGCTCAAAAACGAGTTTCCGCTCCCTCGCCTTCCTCAAATTCAAGCCCTTTAAAGACATGAAAGGGAGAATTCTTAGAAATATATATAAATAAACTGCTTTTGGATTCTGAGAATCAAAATGTTTGTGCCTCTGAGCTGAATAACAAATTTACTTTGAGCGTCTTTGAACGTACCAACGATGCAATTTCTGTTTTCAGAGGGTTTCTTCACATTTTATAATAAAACCTCTGAAGGAATCCAGTTCTTAATAGTAAAAAAACCATTATTGTTCTTTATAATATTTTTTCCTTAATTTCAGTGTTGAAATTGAAATCTAATTATTTTTTTATATTAGAGTAATAAATGAATAGTTATGCGTGTCTGCTGCAAAATAAATTTATCTGTGCTGAGATTAATAAAGGCGTGCGCATGGTTGATGTGAAAAGTTGGAAACTTTTCCTTTATAGGGAATAAGCAAGTGCAAAATAGTGGAGTTGCAGGGGCCAGCTTGAGATAAGCTTGAAAGCGTCTCTTTAATGACGCAAGTTGAAGAAAACTGCTTAAAAAGAAACAGTGTGTGTGCGTCGCACAAGTTGTCTCTTTTCCGCGACAAAATCACGCACTGCGCAGGGAAAGAAAATCCTTTTTTAAGGAGACACGTCACCTTCAGAGTCGAGTTCATCCCTCAATTACGGAGAGGCCGCGTTTCTTATTTCTGCTCCAAGTCAATGTGTCGCTCGCAGCTTCCTATTTCTATTTCGGCGTGAAAATTTGACACCGCAAAAAATAGAGAAAAAATATCCAAAGTCAATCATAGTCAAGAGTCAAAAAGTGGAAAATAATAATAAAGCAGCAGCTCGTCGCGAGCATTTTTCAAATCAACCTCTTCATGGCGTCATAAAAAAAGAATTCTGCTTAACTCGGGGCATAAAATGTCTGCAAAGCTCTCTTTCTCCCTCTCGTCTTTTTTTCTTCATATTATTTATTCATGGGGTAAGAAAGCCCATGTTCGTCGGTATGTGGAATGGCCGAGGCTTTCCGAGCCGCGGTCTTTTGTCCTTCCCAGCACCAATCATAAAGTATAAATTTAAAAGCGCATCATTATACGCCAGAAAATGATGGTTTTATTCCGGAAAAAGCCATCACGATTAATGACAGAGACGCGCAATTTCGGCTCCAGACGAATGAATAAAATGCGCGCGGCGACAAGTGGACAAAAAAAATAATAATAATAAACCAGACCGACGGACTGCAAAGATGAGAAATGCGGAACTAAAATCAAATCGCTTTTGTGGCCAATTGAATGTTTCCTTCCCCGGGCAGTGCATTTTGCGTTCCATGGCTTCGTCCAATTAACTCGGAGAGGGTAATGGAATCTTTTGTGTGCTTTTTCTCGTTTTTTTCCTATGAAATTCCATTTTATTGCCGTGGCCGTAAAATATATATTTGCGCTTGCAAAAAATACATAAAAGCATTACTGTATTTTTATTACGCCAGACATGCGAACAGTAAGTTTTTTTTATTTGCAAATACGCTTAATTTATTTTTCTCTGCAACAGATGAATTAGAAATTTCTCTGAATAAAATGTGTGTGAAAGAAAACATCAATTCACAGCAATATTTGAACGAGTAAAAGAAATAAAAGAAAGCTGAAGTGGCAGGGCAAAATTAAAGATGATAATTATTAAAGTCTGATCCTAAATATAATAAAAGAGCTGCAGTGTCATATAAAATAAATATCCTTTTGAAATTAAATTTAAGCATAGGTCATCATAAGATCAGTTTTAATTGACCGTTTAATTTGAAAATATTTATTAAAATGTTCATTATTGTTGACAAAGTTGCGACTCATTTTGAAGCTGCTGATCGTGGTCGTTGGAGGCAGAAATCGGAGCGGATCGAGCGTGGAATCAACTGATGTGGTGTGGGATGGACCAGCATTTTGATCGCAACGGCGTTTTCAGATTCAATTGGCGACGTTATAATTCAGTGGCAAGACGAGTCTCTGGGTCGGACTGACCGGGGGGCGTTTGCTCGGCCATTACCATTCCACAAAGAGGCATAATGGCCCCTTTTCGCAGTCGGACGTGCTGCGAATGTAATTCTGGCCATGGTGAGAAAAGCGCCCCGGATAAATCATCCCTGACGCCATCCCCTGGCTGGCCTCACCGCACAATGACTTTCGCTTTAATTTCGTTTTTCATTTACGACGCCGGCCTGCCGTCCTTTGCTGTTGCTCTTTCCAAAAGGCAGCAAAAACCCCAACACAACGCAACAGCTTTTGATGTTCCCCCGCATTAAGCTTATTTTGTTCAGCAAAGGTGCAAAAAGTGATAAATTATCCTGCTTGGAAACATGATTAATTTGTTAATCTCTCATTATTTCCCCCCTTTTTTTTATTTAATTTTAATTTTTAAAATTCTATGTAAAATTTGACAGATTATGCACACCAAAATTAGTGGAAATTATCAAAAAATTAATATTTTATAGATTCCAAAATTCCAGAAAATACTTTACGGGCCCAAAAGGGTAAAAAGGAGCGAAATTTTCAATCAATACAGAGATTTGTGAAAGTCGTATAAATTTTATTTTCCGGCTCGGCAACACAGAGCGTGCTGAGAAGTTTTGTGATTATGCAAACATCTGTGCGTCGCACGTGTGACCTCCACCTATGGAATTCGTCGACCTGAACGCTTCAAAGAAATTAACGAGCCGTGAACTTTTTGTTTGACAAATTCTGCGCAGAATTATTTCGCAACCAATGTTTTCGAAAGTGCAGTGAAATGTGCAATTCATGCACGTGGAAATAATTAAATAATTCACTTATTAATTAGCGGCGCAGTTTTCAAAAGGCGAAAGTTAATTTCAAATTGTTTAATAGTTAAAGAACGAATGTGTTTTGAAATGCAGTTAAATTTTTTAATTATTATTATTGAATATATTGTTGTTATTCATTATTTGTCAAATTGTTTACATTTGGTCCAGATTTGGTAATTCTGTCATATTTCTTGAATTTGTTAAAGTTTGTTTTCAATTTTTTTGCAGCAACTTTATGAGTTCAATTTAACTCAAGATTAATGCAATTTTAAAAGTTTTGACAAAATTTTGCAATAGACCCAGAGATGATAAACTCGCCATTGGTTTTTGTGTCTCGCAAACAAGTCTCATGCATGATTTTCCGGAGGAGCAAAAAGACGATCAAAGCGAGACTGCCGAGCAAAAAAGGGCAGACACAAAAAGTGGCGGAAGTGAGCGGCCTGATTTGAATAATAGCTGCAGCGGAGGCGGCGTCGGCGTCGGCCGGAGTTGCACACTCAAGCAAATGAAGAGGCGGAGAGAAAAATGCACTCGCTCTGCCGTTGCATCCATGATTCATAATGGTATGTCAATTTTGCCCAGGCTTTGTTTAGCCCCCCAGTGTACGTACATAAATCGCGCTGTTTTCTTGCGGCCGCGCTCCACTTCACATTAATACTTTTTTTTACCGCGCTGTCAAGTTTTGATATTTTTCATCGCAGCTCGCTCGGCTGCCTGCATTGCCATCGCACACACTTTTTGCTCTCCCACTTGATATCGCACGAGACGCACCAGCAAAGCTTCTCCGCACACATGACAAATAGCCTCGGCCGCTCTCCGACGACAAATTGAGTGTAAGATGCAGTCTTGTGTGCCGCACCCGCCGCCTTTCCACCCACAAGCACACAACACACCTAAATATTGATATGCACTGCATTCAAATGCTGAGGTTTATTTCCTTTCAAAATCCCATTTCAAATCGTACAATAGACTCACCTATAGTTTGCTTTATTTTGCTCATTGGAGCAGAAATTGTTGAAATTTACTCTTCGAATCCTTTTTTCTTATTTTACAGCCTTGAAGACCGATTTTGTTGATTTTTATGTTATTTAGTGAAAATGCCAAAACGATGCAGAAAAGATAAATCGGCTTTTTTCGCAAAAACCTTCAGTTTTCGGTCATTGGTGGCGCTGGAATCGCTGGTTTAATCACGGCGCTGTGCGATCGCAGCGCCACCACTGACTAAAAGCTGAAGTTTTTTGCGAAAAGGCCAATTCTATGTTGCAATAATGCAATCTCTTCAAGCCCCAGCGTTGCAACAATTTGATTGGTTTCTGCTGCGGCAAGATTGCAGCCATAATAGCCAATCAATAAAATACAATTTTGATCACAACTCATGAAACACTGTGCATTGTCAAGTGTTCCGTCAGCTTATTGAATAATAATAAGAATAAAATCTCGAGAATTCATAGAATGATTCGAACTATAAACTTGAATTGGAAAAACATGAATGTTAAAATTTCAACTAAACGAAAAGAGGAATTACTCATATTTTTAATTTTTATCTTGAATGGTAAAATTTAAATGAAGTATATTCAGTTATAATTCAATTTTTTGGTTTTATTATATTTTAATATCATGGCTGTATGTAAAAAACCTAATTAATACAATAAAAGGTGTAAAGATTAAGGTAGTATTTAATGGTTGAATTGACTTCACTAAATTTTTTGGTAAATTATTATACATCAAAGAGCCTCATCTGCCAATCAAAATGTTATAAATCGGTTATTTATCAGCAGAGACGTATACAAGTCACAAACTTCGCAAACTTGTATCGAGCCAAGAAGGTGCAACTGTTCAAGAGACACGGGAATTGTCATATAATTTATAGCGCATCAAGGAAGTGGAGCAGCTCTTTGCGGAATATTTGCATTTTTCCCTCTGCTATCTGGAGCGTGCAACGTGGAATTATATTCAAATACCATATTTTATGGAAAAAGTTGCAATTTTTCTTGATCAAATGAAAAGCAGCTTTAATTTTTTTAAAAATAAACACGAAATGAAAACAGGTCAGCCGAGAGGTGTGAATGGTTGGGCGGCAGATGGAGCAAAATTTCACGGCCGACCAAGTCTTGGGGAGAAGTTTAGTGGGCCTAGCACGAGTAAATGGTAATATAGAGTGAAGCAGCCGCTTTATCTCGAGCGCCAAGACGGTCCAGTGCGTTTCATGGCCGCAAACTTGCTCCTCCACACCTATTATGTGCACCGCATTAACGCAGTGGCAGCCAAATTGCTTGTTAAATTATGTTACGCCCGCAGAGAGCGGACGCGGCCGGCGCAGCCAAGATTGCCAGAGACACTCGTGCTGGCCACGGCAAAGTTAATTACAGTTTGCGACACACGCACGTCCCACCGTTGTTAGTCATTGCGCAAACCACAACCTAACTTGTCTCATACCTAATTATCACTTTCTGATTTCAAATGCGACAATTTTAACTCAATCAAATAAAATGAAAGCTGAGATTTTTTGTCATAAAAATGTATTAATTTCAAGGTTTGCTAAGAAATAAAATATTTCAGCCTGATTTCTGCCTTTTCTCATGGGTGTCAATTCACTCAAAATGTTACCCTGTGATTATTATTCTTCCCAATCATTACAAAAATTTTAAATTAGATCATATGTTCATTTTTGATTAATCAAACTAATAATTAACACAAATTCCTTTTTTAAATACATCATATTTGAATCCTTCATATAAAATTCCATCACGTCACCAATTTAATAAAAAAAGCTGATATATAAACTAAAATCTGGATTTTAATTTTGTGAACCAGTTGTAAAAGTTATGAACATGTGAGGAGTCGCTTGGCTATTGTGTAAACGTTTTGTTGCCAATTAATTTTATTCATTTATTTTTTTTAAATTATAATGTATTTCCCCTAGAAAAAAATGATTGTAACTTTGCAGGCCTATCCTTTAGCAAGGCGGATTTTGATAAGGATTTTCACTCTGATTTCTGATTGCCTAAAAATGTTTGTCATATCGTCATAGCATATAAATAAAGACTTTTTCCTAGATTATTAAATAGAATCTACACTGTCATTCACTTAACAGCGGTTGCTGTTATTAGAAATTTGCGGAAAAAAATCACGTAATAATTTTTGAAAACTGGAGTGCACTGGAACTGTTTTCTGATCTTTTTCAGAAATGTTAACTATGCGATTTTAGAGTTATAAATCTAAAAACAAAAGTTTTGAAGCTTTTTTTGCAAAAATTATCTATGTCTGGGAATGCTTTGCGATTTTTTTACCGGCGCCGTTTATCGCTCCTTATCGTTGTTGATGCCTTAAAAAGTAGTACAATCTCGACTGGCGATTTTTTTTTTAATATTTTGAATGTGTAGGGAATTCGATTAGATATAACCAGCCCAAAGGTGAAACTTCTTCACTTTTTAAATATGACGTGCATTGAGTAGAGTGACTTTGTCAATGCTAAGAAAAGAGCGCCTCTGCAGAAGACAACCTCCATGGATCACGCGCCCAGTCCACATCATCATTAATTACACTTGGTATGAAATATGAATTACTAAATTTATAATTTTTGTACTTTGCTTGTAACTTAATAGACTACAAATGCATGTTTTTGTTTTTTGTTTTGTTTTTTCTTGATTCAAAATTGTCAGTCATTGAAGTAATGGCCGAGTAATACCTAATAAACGCTAACTTTATAGAATTTAGATAAAAAAAGTAGATATAAAAATTTGAATCAGCCTTTCCAAGAGAAAATATACCAATTATTATAATAATAGAACTATGAACGTCAATCTTTTGAAATTCTTTTCATACTGCGCAATTCATTGCTGGCCGCATCCATATTGGGTAAAAAAATTAATCAAACAGCCTGCTTGAGATAAACGAGAAGCTCCTATGAATTGTCACGTAAGCAGTTGCCACTTTAATAGCAAATCAGCAAATGAAGATAAGATGAAGGTTAAAATTGAAGTATTCAATTTGTTAGATAAAATCCGTTACACATATGAAATATGATAATTAATGCATAAATGCATAGCTCAAGGTTTTTTGGTGTCTTTTGTAAAAAGAATAAAATAAAAGTGAAGATGTATGTAGTTAATTAATACTGTATATTTATCATAATTTTAAGAAGTTCATATACCTAACAACGACTCTCACTTTTCTACACGCATTGAAAAACATTATATTGTTTCAGGAAGCCGCTTTTAATCTTTCCACTTTTTCAAAATTTCCAGAATAGTCTTCTTAAGATGGCTGATTCAAGCAAATTGGATGAACTTGAAAAAAGAGGTTGACTTCAAATTTTCCATTTAAAAAATTGCTGAAAAATTATTTCAACTCGATTTTAGGAATCAGTCCGAATGGACCGGCCAATTTGGGGTATTTCGAAAACAACCAAAATGCAGACGAGTAAAAATTTAACATTGAAAGAAGTAAAGAATATTTTATGAAAGAAATCAAAATTTATTGCAGCGCTTGCGTTTTGGTTGTCAGCTACGAATTTAATGCCACAATGAAACGCAAAGGCAATGAAGTGGACCTTGTAAACTTAAGAAAATCTTTCAAGGACAGAAGGAAATGCCAATACAAAGAACTGGAGTCACCAACAGCTGAATTTTTTCTTGAAATTCTAAAAAACGAGGAAGTATTTCTCAAGCTTTTTGAAATATCATGTAAGAAAATCAAGAAATCAATGCCTTTCCTTTAAACTTATAATTTTTTTAATCTTCTTAGCTGTTCCTTCGGCATTTTTTCTCTTCATCTTGTCGCATGGAACAGAAAACAATGTTATCGTGACAAATTTCAAGGACCAGAACGGAGAATACAAATGCTTTCTTACCACACAAGTGGTGGAGGCAATCAAGAAGTCTCCAAACCTGCGAGAACAACTCAATGTCATTTTCTTTGGGGTAAGAATTCCGTTACAATCCAAAATCGATGGATATATTTATTTATTTTGTTAAAAACAGCCCTGTCGTGGAAAACTTGATGACGAGGCCCATAAAAAGATGAAAAAACCTGAAGATATCAAAAAATTCAAAAACCAAACGTCGAGCAGGGTGACTAACATGCCTGGAGACGGAAATTTCGTCATTGTTTATTCTACCGTCGAAAGTAATGATTTTCAATGTTGAAGGCAATTTAAATAATCTACTAATAAATTATAGCAACTTTGTCCATAAGAGACACAGAAAAAGGCACGTTGTTAGTTAAGGGAATTACCCAGTTGTTGGACAACCTTGAGAATGACGAGCTGTTGGAGGTTTTACTCACTAAATTCCAACATTTAATTCATGGCATGTTAGAATGGGTAGGCCAGACACCCGAGATCAAATACACTCCGCACAGGAAATTTGTGATTCGGTATTAATTTACTAGAAAAATATTATTATATTATAAATATTTTTAATTGATTATTAAATAGAGCTGTAAAAAGAGAAAATGACGGAATATTATGCGAAACCGATGGAAAAGGAAATACAAGGAATGTCTTTGAACCTGAACGATCCGCTTTCTTCCAAAGGTGCAAAGAGAGCGAAAAGGACGTCCATGAAAAATGGGCAATGATTTTCGGTGCTAAGTCTGGCCCATTTGTACAACGCACGGAAAAAGCACTGCATGAAAATTTAGGATTTAGGACCGAAATTCATGAAAACACCTCGAAAGATTTAAACTCAGTTTATGAAAAAAGTTCGTGATTTTTTTGATAATTATATATATGTTTATTTTTAGTCGTTATAATTTTCAGCGCAAGGGGAACAAAGTAAGGTGTTTTGTATTTTGGCCGTATTTTTTGCACCCCTTTTCCTGAACAAGGAGAACGAGGTCTGCGTCCGTATTGGAGAGACTAGTACCAAAATTGGAGACATCGTTTACAAATTCCTAGGACCTGGGAATGAAATGTGGATTGGGAGGCCAAAATTATTCTTCTTCGTGAATGAAACGATTCATTCGGACAATATTTTAACAGTAAGGGGCAATCTTTGATTATCTTACAATTAAATTATTCTTTATTTGCATTCCTACGATAATTTTAAATGAACAATTTCATGACCGAGTTGATTGTTTCAATTTAAAAAGTTAGCTTTTACTCGATTGTTTTAATTATCTTTGGGTCTCACCTAGCCCTTTTTACATTTTTTCCATTTTCTTATTATTTTTACTTAATGATATTTATTGCGATTTATTGATTCAAAATATTGTCCGAGGGCTTATCGGCTGGTGCTCATCCTGACTGATGAGACCGCAAGCGGCCATCAGCTGCTACACTTACGATTAGGGCGCATTATTACACAATATTTTATTATTTTTTTTTTTAAATTTCGGTGGAAAAACAATTTTTATCTTATATTTTACATTATTTTTGTTGTTATAATCTAATTGAATGTATAACGTGTTGCGTTAAGTAAATGTTAATTTTTATTTTTATCATGACACTCTCATTCTGTTTTTAGGATCAAAAGTTTGATATAACGGCCACAAATCATAGCGGAACCTTTATTTGCATATTAAAAAGTAGCGGTAAGACTAAAAATGTGTGAAAATATTTACCATATTAATAAATTGCTTTGCGTAGATTCTGCTGATGAATTGATCCGCCTCTTTAACAATCCCAAGTTAAGGAACGGAACGTCCATTCAAGAGTTAGCTCTCGACCTCATTCGCAAAGAACGCAACAAAAGCGGAGAGATAATTTCCCAAATCGTGTCCACTTTGCCCTTTTTAGTAGATTTACCCATGCGACCAAACACCTTTGTTGCGCCTAGAGTGACAGTAATTTCAAATAACATTTCAGCAACAGATCCAGAGAACGAAATTCACGATGAAGTTCGTGCGAGTTCAAGTGAATCGGGACGTAATAAATCCAAGTTATTGCTAAAACGGCAAGAACTAAACGAGAAACATTTTACATTCAATGAACTGAAACAGGAAATGAAGCGACAATTGTTGGGCTCCGGAAAACAAGATTACTGTGTGTGGCTTTTCTCCTCGCTACCTGGTTCGGGAAAGTCAACAGTTCTCCATGAAATTGCGAGTTCACTAAATAGAGAGCAACCAGACAAAAAGGTCTTCACTGTCCAACTGCAGCAACTATATAGTTATTTTTCCGACGAACCGGAATTAAATATAGTGGAAGTATTATCAAAGGCAGATAAAATGAACCACGATTTGCAACAAATTAAGCAAATAGTGAAAGAGGGCAGAGCAATTGTTTTTCTGGACGGTTTCGATGAAATCTGCCCAAATTACCGAAACCAAGTGCTAGAGCTGATCAAAATTTTCACTGATATTCTGTTGCCACTTGTGATCGCAACGAGGCCCGAAGAAGAGGACACCATTTTAAATTCGTTACAAGGGCTATCAACGAGGAAGATTAAAATAAAACCACTTAAGAGGAAAGATCAACAAAAACTTCTTATGAAGTTGGGAAAGTCGGAGGAAGAATGTGAAGAACTTTTTAAACTGTTTGAGAAGTCCGGAACTTCTGAAATTCTGGCTAACCCGTTCCATTTGACACTAGCATGTGGCACGCAAATAGTATCAATTGGAGGAATATTTGGAATCTACATGCAGGTGATTGAAAGAAAAGTAGAAGAAGCGTTAAAAACTGAAAAAGAGAGAACGGAGCCATCAAAGTGCAAGAAAAATGAACGCATGAAAATTTTAATGGACTTGGCACTAAGATTACTTGTTAATGATAATTGCTCAATTTCTCATCAGCTGACTGATGCTGACATCAATTTAATCAACAACAGCGGCGTCGCATCAATATTAGAAAAGAAGACAATACATTTCGTTCACCAAACATTTGCAGAATTCCTTGTAGCTCTGCGCTTTATCCATGAAATCAAGCGAAAATCTAATTCAGAAATTCCAATATTTCAGAACATTGATCTGAGGCAATGTCGGGTTTTCATCGATAGTTATCTTTCTCAGCAACGCGTCCCTTTTAGAGATAATTTGAAACATTTCCTCAATCGCAGCAAAAATGTTTCTTTTCATAGAATTTTAGCCGAACAACTAAACTACATTGTTGATGAGCTAAAACCTTTATTAAAATCATTGCTCGATTGTAAAGTGAATGAGCGCGATGAAAACGGGAATTCTCTTCTAACTTTGGCAGCATCATTTTCAAGCGCAGAAATGTGTCGATTCTTGGTGGAAAACGGCGCCGATTTGAGTGTTGTAGACAAATTCGGAGACGACTCTTTGCATTTAGCCTGCTTCAGTGGGAAATTGGACACAATCAAGTATTTGTTGGGATTAAATGGCTTCAGCGTAGAAAAAAAAGGCTGGAAAGGAAGAACAGCTCTTCATTGGGCTGCTGCTAAAGGTCACATTGCAGTGGCTGAATTTCTCCTTTCTCAGGGAGCAGACGTCAACACTCGTGATGATGATAATGAGTCGCCTTTAACTTTGGCAGCCTCATTTTCAAGCGCAGAAATGTGTCGATTCTTGGTGGAAAACGGCGCCGATTTGAGTGTTGTAGACAAATTCGGAGACGACTCTTTGCATTTAGCCTGCTTCAGTGGGAAATTGGACACAATCAAGTATTTGTTGGGATTAAATGGCTTCAGCGTAGAAAAAAAAGGCTGGAAAGGAAGAACAGCTCTTCATTGGGCTGCTGCAAAAGGTCACATTGCAGTGGCTGAATTTCTCCTTTCTCAGGGAGCAGACGTCAACACTCGTGATGATGATAATGAGTCGCCTTTAACTTTGGCAGCCTCATTTTCAAGCGCAGAAATGTGTCAGTTTTTAGTGGAAAACGGCGCAGATTTGAGTGCTGTAAACGAAGACGGAAATGACTCTTTGCATTTGGCTTGCCTCAATGGGAAATTGGACAATGTCAAGTATTTGTTGGGACTTAATGGCTTCAGTGTAGAAAAAAAAAACTGGAAAGGAAGAACGGCTCTTCACCTTGCTGCTGCAAAAGGTCACATTGCAGTGGCCGAATTTCTTCTTTCTCAAGGTGCAGAGGTCAACGCTCGTGATGATGATAATGAGACGCCTTTAACTTTGGCAGCCTCATTTTCAGGCGCAGAAATGTGTCAAATCTTGGTGGAAAATGGTGCAGATTTGAGTGCTGTAGACGGTCGCGACTCTTTGAAATTGGCCTGCTTCCTTGGGAAAATGGACAAAATCAAGTATTTTTTGGAATTAAATGGCTTCAGTGTAGAAAAAAAAGGCTGGAAAGGAAGAACGGCTCTTCACCGTGCTGCTGAAAACGGTCAGATTGCTGTGGCTGAATTTCTCCTTTCTCAAGGAGCAGACGTCAACTCTCGTGATGATGCTAATGATTCGCCTTTAACTTTGGCAGCCTCATTTTCAAGCGCAGAAATGTGTCGATTCTTGGTGGAAAACGGCGCATATTTTGGTGGTGTAGACAAAGACGGAAATGACTCTTTGCATTTGGCCTGCCTAAACGGGAAATTGGACAATATCAAGTATTTTTTGGGACTGAATGGCTTCACCGTAGAAACGAAAGATCGATGGGGAAGAACGGCCCTTCACCTTGCTGCTGCAAAAGGTCACATTGCAGTGGCCGAATTTCTTCTTTCTCAAGGTGCAGAGGTCAACGCTCGTGATGATGATAATGAGACGCCTTTAACTTTGGCAGCCTCATTTTCAGGCGCAGAAATGTGTCAATTCTTGGTGGAAAACGGCGCAGATTTGAGTGGTGTAGACGAAGACGGAAATGACTCTTTGCATTTGGCCTGCCTCAATGGGAAATTGGACAATGTCAAGTATTTGTTGGGACTTAATGGCTTCAGTGTAGAAAAAAAAAACTGGAAAGGAAGAACGGCTCTTCACCTTGCTGCTGCAAAAGGTCACATTGCAGTGGCCGAATTTCTTCTTTCTCAAGGAGCAGACGTCAACTCTCGTGATGATGCTATTGAGTCGCCTTCAACTTTGGCAGCCTCATTTTCAGGACTAGAAATGTGTCAACTCTTGGTGGAAAACGGCACAGATTTGAGTGCTGTAGACGAAGACGGAAATGACTCTTTGCATTTGGCCTGCTTCAGTGGGAAATTGGACACAATCAAGTATTTGTTGGGATTAAATGGCTTCAGCGTAGAAAATAAAGGCAGGAATGGTAGAACGGCTCTTCACATTGCTGCTGCTAAAGGTCACATTGCAGTGGCTGAATTTCTCCTTTCTCAAGGAGCAGACGTCAATTCTCGTGATGATGCTAATGATTCGCCTTTAACTTTGGCAGCCTCATTTTCAAGCGCAGAAATGTGTCGATTCTTGGTGGAAAACGGCGCTGATTTGAGTGTTGTAGACAAAGACGGAAATGACTCTTTGCATTTGGCCTGCTTCAGTGGGAAATTGGACAATGTCAAGTATTTGTTGGGATTAAATGGCTTCAGCGTAGAAAAAAAAGGCTGGAAAGGAAGAACAGCTTTTCACCTTGCTGCTGCCAAAGGTCACATAGCAGAGGCTGAATTTCTCCTTTCTCAAGGAGCAGACGTCAACACTCGTGATGATGCTAATGAGTCGCCTTTAACTTTGGCAGCCTCATTTTCAAGCGCAGAAATGTGTCAATTTTTAGTGGAAAACGGCGCAGATTTGAGTGCTGTAAACGAAGACGGAAATGACTCTTTGCATTTGGCCTGCTACAGTGGGAGATTGGATAATGCTAAATTTTGTTTGGATTAAATAGCTTCAGCGTAGAAAATAAAGGCTGGAAAGGAAGAACGCGACCAATGCTAAATATAGTCAAATCTAATGAATCCTGAGCTCAAAACCTGTAATCCCTGATAAAAAAAAAAAATGAAATCAACTTTTTTGCTTGCACGCTGAACACTCTGCTTATTGAAAAGTTACAAATACACAAAGTCGACAGGGACGTACGCAATTTGAGGCGCCATCAAATCTGCTGCGCTCCATTGACATCAGTCGCAGAATGTGATTTCGCCAGGTAATAAAGTTCTTGCCACCATCGACTTCTTGATATCACACAAACGTAATAAAACGGCTTTCCAAACTCATTCCGCATTCATTCCGCCGGGGCGAGGCAAAAACATTTTTCACTTTCTGTAGCAGCTTCTCCGGACGAAGACTTACTTCGTTTGACATTTTTCTCTGCCGTGCAAACAAGAAAAATGGGTCTGAGCGAAAAAATATTAGACCGGCGTGCCAAAAGTGTTGGAAATTGCTGGGCCGGGATAATATTCCGGAGAGCCAAGTTAATTTGAATAAATAATTATGCGGCTCTCGCAGAAAGAAATTGCAGAAACTTGTGCGCTAATGTGCTCATCTCGGGAGCTACTTTTGCGAAAAGTGGAGAACTTGCGCCAATATGAAACAAGAGAACTGAACTTTTTTATAGGTGTAGCAATCTTGGGGCCCGCGAAAAGGAACAAAATATATAAGAGGCGAGAGCAAGTTCTCTCCTTAATTAGCCCAAAGTGTTTGAAAATATCTCGCATCTGCCGACCTGAAGAGTTCTTTCGCAAATGAACAAGATAAAACTACTTCATTTTGGGCGTTTATAAAGAAAAGGAGCTTGTTTGAAATTAGGATTGACTAAATAAAACACAACGTCAAAGGAGCCTCTCATATATTATTGCATGGGCAAGTGAGACGAGTTTAGGCCGCCCTGCTTATATGGTACATTATTGTGTGTCCTGCGCCCCGCGATATTGCGTCTTTGCCCGTCTCCCATGGCTCATTTTCTTCGCCGTCTTTTGAAAAGGCGAGTTTTCAGAGATGCTGAGAAAGCCTCCAGCTTTTATGAGCTGCCGGGCGTGCTCAGATACAAACACACATATTGTTGCTCCGTTTCCACTGGCCCGGTCTTTTCAAAAGCAACCTCCACTCTCGATGAATATTCAAAAGGAGACTGCAATCGATGACGATATTGAAAAATTGAGAAGATATTAAAAAATGAATTACTTGTTACAAAAATTATATCATTGTTAAATATAATAAAATAAATTAAAATCAGTGATATTGCTGAATTCGAAAATTTAAATTATTTTCAAAGGAAAAAAGCTTATTATTATCAAAATAGATGATTTAAGGTGATTAATGTAGCGTCAAATTTTGTTATTTAGGCTTCTTTACGTGATATTCCATTTAAAAATGATGATTTTTCAGAAAGTGAGGTTTAAGGTGATATTTTTGTTGTTGAAAATGATTGATCAAAGATTGAAAGCTCTAAATGGCCAAAGTCAGATGCTGATTTTACTCAAATTGTAGAAATAAAAGTTATTTTAGAATCTACAAAACATGGAAAAAATATTCCTAATTTTTATTTGTGAATTACATATGCTGTGAGCGCAATTCTGTGTTGAAGCCCATTCGGCTGGTAATATTCACGCTGTTTCTCGGCGCACAAGCTGCGTCACACCATTAATCCTCTAAAATGCAAATTACACAAGCACAGCAGTAGGTCTTGCGTCGAGGGTGTTGCATACTTTACGAGTGGGGCTCGCATTAAAATGATAATATTTGTTTCTTTAATTAGTGCTCGGCGGCGCCGTCTCGTGCTGTTGCAACGTCACACATCGCGCTCTCAACCGAAATAAACCCATTCGCTGATGCTCGGTTGAGCATTAATGCATGGCAGGTGCAGCAAAGGGGACGCCAGAATCACATCCTTCAGATTAGAGTTTTGAAAAGCAGGCTCAGATGTAAACATCAGCTTTGCATTTTAACGTCTAGACGACTTCCACTTCACTTTCCGAAACGCTAAGTTTGAAGGTTTTGACAAATGAAAATTGCACTAAAAAGCTTTCGTGCTTGGAAAATGCTCAGAGAACCATTAATGTGGTCACAATTATTAAGTTTGTGAAATAATTTTTGCATTCTTGCTCAAAATTGTTCCTTCAAAAATAGAAAATTTTGCTGCCTGCCAAATTGGTAATGATAAAATAAAAAAAAAATTACTCACAGTACAGCTCGCTGCTGCTCTTCTCCCTTTGTGGAATTTATAACGTATTAATTTTTATGCAGCACCGCATGCAGTGTCTGAATAATTCGAGGCGCCGCGCTCTCGTCTTGCTGGAGGGCTTTGCTGACGAGAGAGTGAAATTCTAAAATGCACTCTGCTGCGCTGCACTGGGGAATGGCATCACTAAGCATGTTGCTACCTCCATTGCAAAGATTATAAAACATAATATAATTTAATGGCCTTCTCCTGTGTCTGACTCTGTGAAAGAGCAAAGCGCTTGCCTATTTTATACAATTTTACAACCGTGCAGAAAAGTAATTTACTATAGTTATTCTCCTTATAAAGAAATCTTATTGATAATTGATATGCAAGACGTCCGTGTTCTTGAAATTTTTGAGCCTGCGGACGTTCCTTCAAATAATTCATTTCATGTGTGAATATTTAATTGAACACGCGTGAAACGCTTGTCTTCCGGGAACATTTATTGAAGTAGTAAATAAATTAAGTCGCAAACGCGGATAGCGGTCGTCGATAATTTCTACTTAAAAGGATATTTCCACATTGGAGCAGCGGATTAAAATTGTTAATAATCCGGCTGATTTTGGTAGAACTGGCAATATTTTCCTTATTTTAACTCATTTAATTTTTATCGAAAGAATTCATAATATACTTTTGTTCCGAGAAGAAAGTTATTCATGAAAAATTTAAAATATTTCATTTATTTATTGAAAAGGATTCAATTAATCAGTTATCACTCGTACAAATAAAATAATTTTTAAGATTTAGAATGGACATATTTGCCCATTTTTTTCATTAATTTTTATAGTGTTTTGGGAGAAAAGAAACAGATATAGACATAATTTGAAATATTAAATTGAATTTATTTGTGATAATTTATCCTTTTTACTTGTTCAATGCGATCATCACAAGGTTATAATTATAAACCAGGACTACATAAAATACAATTATTCAGCATAGCAGCAGAGTACTCTAAAACAGATTTTTGAAGATCAAAACTAAATTAGGGAACTGATGGGCCTTGTAGCCCCCTTTTGAATCAAGAATTGACACATTTCTGCGCTTGAAAATGAGGCTGCCAAAGTTAAAGGTGACACATTAGCATCATCACGAGAGTTGACGTCTGCTCCTTCAGAAAGGAGAAATTCAGCCACTGCAATGTGACCTTTTGCAGCAGCCCAATGAAGAGCCATTTGTACATTTCAATTCCAAGGAGGCATTGTAAGAAAAATTTGTCAATCGGAAAATGAATTTTTGAAATTTAACATTTGTTCTGATGGGAATTTTCTAAAATAATTTTCCTCACTATTAGCCAGACAAAAATTGATGAAAATCACCAAATCACGTTCAAAGCAACCCAATTAAGACGGAAGATAATTTGAATACATTTTACGTGAAGAATTTTTAAGAAAATTCAAATCATGCAACACAGATACGAATCACTTTTTCTTTCCTTTTCGGGGTGTGTTTTAAACAGCGGTGCTGCTGCGAAGGTTTCCAGTCGAAATTAATTAATCATGGAGCTTTCACGCACTCTCTTTTATTCGTATCCGGCAATTTAAGTCTGCGCCCCTCAAGCAAGGCGCGCGCGCGCCAGTCCAATAAATTCACCTAGCGTTCCAATGAACAGCGCGCGAGCGAGCGGCGTTTCCTGCGGTTATAAATCAAGGGATTATGCATACACAGTGCCTAATAAATCTTGCAATACAAGGCGCACGCGGCGGCACTTCTCTGCAATTTGCGTGCCCGAACAAGACGTACGCGACGAGCCTATACTTAGCCGGGCCGACGCAAAAGGGCCCAACTTAAGTCATTAGCAGCACTTCCGGTTGCAAATTAGTTTCAACAAAACTTGCTCGAGCTTATCACCGAAGCTTCCAACACCGCAGTTGCAAAAATTTAATTTCAAACTCTGCGTTTTTCTCCTGCGGCTTGGAAAGAAAAATCGATTTAATTAGAGAAATCGCTCCGGGCGAATCAACTTAATTGAATAAATTCCGAATGGTTGAAGCATTTAATTGACCTTTGTAACTCAATTAGGAAATTGTGTAAATCAAAGACTAATGAAGTTGCACAAACAGCATTTCGGCGAGGTTAATCAATTATCCGGCGTCCCCTCCTCTCTCGGTGCAATTGTCTTTTGAGCCAAGTTAAAACCGAGCCTGCTTTTCGCCACCTCGCCCACGAGAATTACACGGAGCGAGGCCCTTCTTCTTTGACAAACGATCGCAATTAAGCCCCCGATAATAAATCCACCGCACCGGTGCGCGCGCGCTTGTCCAAATTTTTAAAATATGGCCCTCGAGTTTCTCATTATGGCGACGCCGCCGCAGCCACTATCATCGTTATTGCTGCTTGTAAATGTAATTACGGCGAATGTGCCTTGTCTCTCTCTCTCTCTCTGCGTACGTTGGATTAAATTCGTTCCAAAAGCGCCACTTGACGTTTCAAGTTAATGCGAGAACGCGCGCCGCGCCTCTTTCGCTCCATCTCTTCCTTAACCACATCATAATTGCTTTTGAAATTCTCTTATCAAATATATTTGTAAATTGTTTTCGCCACTAAAAGAAATCCATGCTTTTAAATAATTAATATTTGGCTCGCAAACATATCATCAAAATCTAAAGTGTGAAAGAGTTAATAAAATGAATGCTGTTTCCAGTTTTGTTAAAAAATTATATTTTGTATGGAAATTCAAATTTAATTCGGGCTAACTGTTTAATTTGCAAATTATTCAATTTATTTTTGATGTTAATCCTTATTTATATAATATTGAAAGTTTGAATAAAAATTGAAATTAAATGTCACAGTTGTATTTCTCCCAGGGTTTCTGAGCATGAGCTGCTCGCGAGCAAGATTGAGCAAAATTTTGCTCGCGAGCACCATTGAGCACTCCTTTAGTGAGCATGCTCGCGAGCAGATGCTTGCGAGCACCCCAAAAGGGAGCATGCTCGCGAGCAGATATAGGGGAGCACTCCTGAGGTGAGCAGGAGCAGGAGCAGAAATTAGGGAGCACTTTTTAGAAGTGAGCAGGAGCAGGAGCAAAATTAACTAAAAATGCTCGAGATGCTCCTTCTGCTCACATTTGCTTTAAAAATTTTACTACAATAACAGAATTTCATACTAAATCAATACTGTATACTGTGAGATCAACAAAAACCAGTGGAGGACGCTTTAGAATCGCAATGCATTAATCCCTATGCTCTGACGCTCCGCCTACACCCCTTTCAGCCCTGAGTTCGACCTGCTGCACCTTATGTGCTCCTGGCAAACCTTCAGTCCTCTTGTGTCTTTTCCGCTGTACATAATTTAAAAAGAGCTCAATCTCCTGCTTCATATTTATGTGCTCCTGGCAACAATTCGTCTTTTTAAATAATAATGAAATTATTTTATGGTAATAATTTTATTATTTTAATTATATTAAATTTTTATATGGTCTTAATTTGGTATCAAATTGATGTATTTGAATTTTGCTAAATTATTTCGGCGTAATAAATATTCTTTCAGAGTAAATTAAAAACCTACATGCCGAATTTTCATATCAAACATGAGCATGACACTGCTTGGGAGCATATCGCAGGAGCAAAAATTGCTCGGAGCAGCATTGAGCACTCCTTTAGTGAGCATGCTCACGAGCATCTGCTCGCGAGCACCCCAAGAGGGAGCATGCTCGCGAGCAGATGTAGGTGAGCACTCCTGAGGTGAGCAGGAGCAGGAGCAGAAATTAGGGAGCACTTTAGAAGTGAGCAGGAGCAGGAGCAAATTAATTTGAGCACCCGAAAAATTTTGTGCTCAGAAACCCTGATTTCTCCACATTAACGTGTTGAGATTATTTCTTAATTATTTGTGAAGAGTGCATAAAATATCTATCTATACCAACTTTTCCTATTTGAAAAATTTAATTTTGTTTCGATCTTTTTGTAATGTGTGAGATACCGCTTGCTTTCTATTTTGCTCTCAATCCTCAGCAAAACTTTGAGATGTCTCCGTCTCTAAAAAAAACGACCAAATACGGCTGGCACTGACATTCCGTTTTCCTTACCTCTAATTTTCCCTTGAGCAGGTTCGTTCTTCTATTGTTTACAAGTTTATTTGTTTGCAGGAAATTGTTAACGTTTTGCGTTTTCACGCTGCTTTTACTGCTTGAATCACAAGTTAATCCAGGGCTCTGTAGAATAAAATGAAAGAGTTGCTGAGTTTACAGAGACGGCGGAGGATTTGGAGTGCTTTTTCGAGAGCAGAATTTCGCGTCAGAACACATTTGGCGCGGGGTGACAAGGTGCGACTGCGGCTAATTTTAAAAGTGTGTCTCTCTCTCTCTGCTTCGCCCAGTAGTTTGTATTCCCAGCTAGGCCGTGTGCATTAAATTCTGCCCGGCGTGGAGAAAATTTATAAAAGGTGACAGCGGAGCAGGTATTTACGACTTGCGAAAACTTGACACGACGGAAGCCATCCCTCCGCAGCCCTTTTTACTTCCTCAGCAGTACAAAAATCCATTAGTCCCTCAGCAGCTCGACGAAAAGAACAAGCAGAGGCAACTTAAAATAAAATACTCGCTCGCTCTCTCTAGGTTTCCTCGAAACTTTTTCTCCACCGCACAAAATAAAAGAAGAAAAAAGTTGCGAGCAGCCGGCGCGGCGCGCGGACCCAAGCAAGTTTTAAATCGTTTAATTGTTTTATGTGTTTCAAAAGTGGCGCGACAGCAAGTTGCGATCTTGTGATCTTTGCTTTTTGTTCGCCGAGCAGCGACGATTAAATTGCCCCGGCCTTTGTTAAGAAGCAACCCTCTTGCTTTTGACGCCTTTTATTGGATTCCGTCCTAAGTGTGTGTGCGCGCGCCAGTCTTTTGACACTTAATGCCAATTGCGTTTTATTGCAAAATTCCTCCAGCGAGACCGTTTTTTCCTTCCTTTTCGGCAAAGTGTCAAGATTAAATATTTGGAATCGCACGATTTTCATTTTCAACAAGTTGAAAGCAAAATAACTGAACCAAAGAACTACTCAGAGAAAATATTGATTTTACCAGAAATTAATTTTCAAATTTCAATCGTATCAATGAAAAGAAGCCAATCAATAAAAACAAAAATTCGTTTTCATTTCAGTTCCATTGAGTTTTGATTATTAAATTAGATTCCCTTATGATTCTCAAGTTTGTTTTGCAACAAAGCTGCTTTTATTCTAGCTTTTCACTTTCCGTATTGATGGAAAGGTTTTATTTTTATTTTGGACACAACGTTCGATCCTGCATCCCATTTAAATAAGTTAGCTCTGTATCTCCCTTTTCATCTTTGATCCATCCACTTTCGGAAGGCACGAATTGTTTAGTTACGCGCTCTGGGTCCTTTCATCGGAAACAAGGGTTCAAATCTGAATGCCAAAATAGCCGCCTTTTCTCCGGCGTCCTGGAATCAAATGCGAGACACTTTTTGCCGCCCTCGCTTTTTTGCGGAATCCTTTCATCGTCAAAGGGCGGAAATTCGATTTGATTTAATTAAAGAAAGGATTCCTCCGCCATTGGTTCACTTTCTCGGTTTAATTATTTTTACGCAAAAGAAAGAAATAAATAAATTCTCTGCTTTAAGCGTATTGACGTAAATTTGCGGAAGGATTTTCATTAATCGTCGCGGAGAGATAATGAAATTTGCATTTCAAAGACGGTCGCAAGTGTTGCATGTTATCATTTGGCGCTTTTATCCGCAGAGGCAGCTGTGTGAGGAGCTCGTGTATGATACGACTCTCGGCATCTGGTGTGTGCATTATGTTTGCACTTAATGCCACTTTTGCAGCTACAGAGATGTGAATTATAAACTCGCGCGCGCGTCTTGTCGTGTAATGGCGCCGCGATATTAATGCACTGCACGGAGATCATTACACGAAGCAAACACGGCAATAACGTCGTTTTATTGCAGCCAACATTGCAACAAATTAAATCCACAGCAGAGCAGGCTAATTTCTGCGCCGCTCCCAAAACTCTAATCTGCGCGATCACGCAAACGGAAGTATTTTATGGCACCAGCATTTCCTCCTGTTAATGACCAAAATGCATATCTGCCCCGAATAAACACTTCATTTGCATTTCTAGATTTGCTTCAAATAATTACTCATTAAACCATTTGTAATTAAATTAAATTAAATTAAACAAATTAATAACCATCACATAAAATTGAAATTTGAGATCATAGGGCAAGTGATTGGAAGGTCGTGGGTTCAAATCTAGAGAGAAATAATTATCTCCAGATTCTCAATGACCTGTTTCCCCTCCCAAAACAAACTCATTTATCTTGCTGCTTTGTGGCGTTTCCTGTTTTCCCGAGAAATTTAATTAATTATAATGTGAAGATTGCACCAGGAAATCTTGAGAAAACTTTTATATTAAAATTCTAAAGATTTTCCTTTTCTACAAAGAAATATTTACCCTCATTTGTGAGTTTAATAATAGAATTATTGTCAAGAGAAACCCGAAAAAGATTTAAATTCCGTCAAAGGAGGTTTCCTCGGCCAGACCTTCTTTCTTCTTTGTTAATTTCTTTATGAAGGCATCGTGCAATTAGCAGAGTCATCATTTAATTAGGCCCAGTGAAAGGGTATAATTACGGACGCGCTCACCAAGATTGGACCCGCGCGCTTAATTCACATTAGAGCTCGGCGGTGTATGTATCTCGAGTCTTTTAACTCGAGGCGGCGCCGTGACACCATTTTAAGCGCCGGCCGCAATAATCAGACTCTTGCGACGTCAGGTCACGTAGCGATATGGTTGACACTCGGAGTCGAAACGGCCCTTCCTCCTTTTCGCCCTTTTTTCCCAACGCCGCCGGCCAGCCGAGCTTAAAAAAATGACCCGAAATCTATCGTAATGGCTTCATATTGCCGCGGGCCGGCAGATGTAATGTTTGTTATGATATCTTGTGGGAAAAGATACCAAGTCGCTTTGTCCCAATATCAATATTTCTTCTGCGCTCGCTATCTTAGCTCGTCCGCCCTCTTTTCGTACGTTTTGGCGAATTGGCTGCTTTATTGGTCCGTGCGCCAGATTTATCGCCGCTTTTTTCGTGCAATTTGCAAAATATTCACTTTCATGCTGTAGATAAAACCGGCTAGCTCAGTTTACACTTCAAGAGATTTTTAAGAAAACAATCCTATTTTTAAAGAAAAGAGCTCTTTCTGCACAAAAAAGCCTAGCAAAAGTTTAAATTTGTATTTCCGAATAATTTTCAGATAAATTAAGAATTTACAAAATTGATTATGTTTTGAATATCAACTTCAATTAAAATTTGCGCAAAATCCAAACAACTGCGTATCAGTTTTTTTTTATATTAGTTGTTTCTTTAAAAAATATTATAAAATATTGTGATTTGTACAACTTTGAGGATTTCTAGTTAAAAAATAATTCATTTTTATCCTAGAAAAAAATAGTAGAATCTTATGAAAAATTTGATAAATTATAATATCAACTAAAATGGGAGGGAAAATAGCATATAACAATTTATTTCCTCATTAATTTTGAGTCCCTCTCAACTGAAGCTTTATATTTTTTGTTAAGAAATTGGAACAGGTTATTGTGACTGTGCGGCGTTGAAGTTTCAAATCCATCCTAATTAGACCAATATCATTGTGGAAATTCGTAGAATATTTTCAAAAGAACGCACAATAAACTTGAAAATGAATTGGAGATTATATTTTTTAACAAGCAGAATTCCGAAAAATATTAACTATCTTGTCATTTGCTTCAAAAAATATCATTAAATTTGATTTGACAAGGAAATTTTGTATTTATTGCTGAAAATTTATTGCAAAAAAATTATTCTCAATATTTATTGCATGAATCGCCACATGGATCCGGCTACTTAGAAATGGATTCAAATTAACTTCAACGCCGCACATATATATTTAATTTAATGACCTGTTGTGTACATTTTGACAAAATTAACGTGACCCGGCGAGGCGTGACGTGCGGTATCAGGGGGTGCGGATGTACCAAATTAGCCGCCCTAGCTAATCTACATGCCGTGTAGCTGCGGAGCCGAATGCCAGGTATCAGTCAAGAGGGATTCAATTTGACTGAATACAATGTTCAGTGGCAAACAAGGGCGCGCGGTTTTGCCTTCAGTTGATTGCCAGCGCGACACGATTCGCAACTTTCGCACTACACGCTCCCGAATAATTGATTTTCACGCCTTTGCCCTTCGTTCGTTGCAAGAAAATGCAATTTTGCTTAAAATAGACATTCCAAATGTTAAATTTCGGTCTTTGGAGAGAGAGAGAGAGAAAGTGCGAATATTCACAGGCTGGAGGCAATGATAAGCAGCTTACAAGTCCCACCCATTATCAGAAGCTGAAATCGATAGGTCTTCCGAATTCCCAAGAATTTCTTGAGCCGATCACTTGTCTCAAGTAGACTTTCATCTTCACTTCTTAATTAAGACGGAAATCAGATTGGCTCAAGAGAACGAGGATTTTATTCAAAATTTTCTCATTTGGAAATATTAATAACTAACGTTTGAAATCACCATTGAAATAAATTACATTTTAAATATAAACTGGACAATTTATAAGCTTTTTTGTCTCGACCCTTATCGCTTTCCTTTTCATTTGCAAAGCGTCGCTTTAGATTGGCAATTCTCTGATGATATCATTTAATGATGTAAAGGAATAAAGCAGACGAGTATATTAAAATAATTCTCTGCTGCTTTTAGAAAGGGCCATTCAGCGATTCTCGTCAGGGCTAATAAATTGGTGGTCATTTTCAAAAGAGCCGATGTAATCAGCTTACTTTATGCTTTGAGCTGGTTTTATTTCGAGTGTTCTGGTGCGTCACACATTGGTATGCATTCACAGAGAGGCTGCGCGTGATTCCAGCTGGAGAGGACGCGCGGAATGTAATTAACTGGCGAGGCCTGCTATCTTGCCCGTACAACTGTCACAAAGTAAACCGACCAAGGGCATGACACTCGTGGGACTGTTTGCTCACCAGCCTCAGCTGCACTGCAAAACTGTTTATTGCAGAAAAAGAGAAGAGAGA